TGCGTATTGACAGCTCAAATTCACACTTCCTAATTTCTCACTACCGTTAATGTATAAATACACTATACTCGATAATAAAATTAGTAATATACACTAACACACACTTATAAAAAAATAAATACTTGGCTATAAACATAGCAATGAATTTTTTTCTCAGCTTATTAAAAAATTTTAATATCAATAAGAAAGCAGTTAGATTGCGCAAGTTATTAAAGAACAGTTTTCAAAGGTGACGTACAACAGATGCTCTGAGACGTATTGTAAGTCCAGCTCCAAGAATATAAACTCAATAGGTGTGTGATGTATGTACAGCTCTTGTGTTCTCTGAATAAAAATCTTAAAATACACAACGGTCCTTGACTGTTCAACTGTGATGAAGTTTATGTCCTGAAACCGTTGCTCTCAGGAACACACGCAAGGTGCTTATTACAAACACTTAAAATTTATCATTTATCCTCTTTCGCATACGCAACAGGTGCCCTAATTTGTAAGTTTATTCAAATAAACTTGTTGCAATATTAATTATATATATTTTTCAGGCATTGAATGACGATGATTAATCTTTGGAGCTGATAAGACATTCCAATTCTTCGACGTCCTGTTATCCTTGACCTAACGCTACTGCAATTTCACTCTTTTATCTCCTGTAAGTTTTATAAATTAAAATAAAATCACTGAGTCATGAATATTATGCAAACAGTGAATATTTTCAAAAAACAATCCAACCGTTACCAAAATGACTACTCAGCCAATTCTTCCGCATTCTAGAGTCCAGTCATTTTTTTTTCTAATTCTTACCTATAAAAAAAATGTTAAATTTCAAAACTTGAAAAAAAAAAAAAAGGTATGTAATTAATTTTATGACATTAAAATTAGCAGTTACTAAACAATTTTTTTCAAAAAATTATTTTTAAAAAATTGCATTTTTTATTTTTTAAAATTTCTAAATGTCAATTTTTTTTTCTTGTCATAATTTATTTATGATATTAAAGTGAGTTGTTATTTGAGCATTTTTTTAATTTTATTTAACAACAAAATTTGTTCCAAAAAATTATTTTTACAAAATTGCATTTTTAATTTATTAAATGTCAATTTTTTTTTCTTATTTTTTATGCAGTAATTTATTTGTTAGAAAAATTCTTAAAATTATTGAATATCTGCTGAATTAATTTTATGAAAATTAAGTTAGCCAACATCTGAAAATTTAATTAATAAAAAAAAAAAAATTAAAAACGTCAGCTAACTTAATTTTCATATTTTATTTGCTATTATAGAATTTTTAAAATTATTAAATATATGCTAAATTAATTTTCATATTAATTTTCTTCCTTATATTTTATAATAAAATTTTAATAATATGTAATGACATCAAAATTAGCAGTAATTTGATTATTTTTTATTTTTATTTAACAAACTTATTCCAAAAAATTATTTAAAAAAAAATTGCATTTTTAATTTTTTCAAATTTCTACATTTAAAAAAATTTTTTTTTTCCACAATTTATCTGCTAAATTAATTTTCATTAATATTTTTTAGTTTGCTTAAAATTTTAGCACGACATTAAAGTTAGCAGTCACTTCGCAATTTTTTAATTTTATTAAACAAAAAAATTTCTTCCAAAAACTTATTTTTAAAATTTTACATTTTTAATTTTTTACAATTTTTACATGTCAATTTTTTTGCATTAATTTATTTCTTAAAAAAATTATTAAATATCTGCAATTTTAATTTTCATAAATTAAGCAACATTAAAAGTAAGAAGAAGAAAAATAATTAAATTTCACTACTCCAACTCTTACAACTATGATGACATATGATTTGATTAAAAAAGAAGAATATAAAAATAAGAGAGAATGAAATAAGTCTTGAGCATATCATTTATGGTTAGAATAACAGGACTCTTCTCACATAAAAATTACTGAGAGCTCAGAGTAAGCCAAAGTGTGGTTCGGTGAGTCTCGAAGACGATCTGAGCGGTACCGTTACATTAAAGTTGAGGAAGCCGGGCTCACCTGAACAGCAACAACAGAAGCAGAAGCGATATAATACCTACATCTCTCGCCACGAATTAACGAGTAGTGTGTGCTCTGATCGTACTTAACTTACTAGTAATCCACACCCGTAATCTCAAACAGCAACAGAACCAGGGAAGTCTACTAGTTTAGTTCTTCATGTTCAGTGTAACTCTTAGCCTCTCCACACTCGGTACTCTGATATATTTCTTCGCTCGGTTCCTACAATCTAGTCTGCTCAGTGACGTGCTCAAGATTTAAGCGCATTCAAGGTAATCTTCACCTTGGGAACTGATATAACCGCTCATTGTTTTAAGATATATCTATTGTTTGTGATTTAAATTAAAATATCAGTGTTGTGAATTTATTTACTTATTGAGTTAAGTACTTACTTACTTTTATTAGACAATTGATGAGTTAGTTAATATTATCCAGTGTTGAATTTTATTTTCATCTGCTCTAGTTCCGATTGCGAACAATGTGTGAACGGCTTTAGTGATTTTAATAACATTAAATCTCATGTGTTTTTTTTTTTTTTTTTTTTAAGTGACTGTTTTTAATTTTTTACTCAATTTACAGATATATTTATCATGGAATTATGATAATCTGATGATCTTTAATAAAAATCGATAAATCGGTACGTAGATGTATATTTAATAAATGAAAATTAAGTTAGCCGACATTTAAAAATTTTTTATTGAAAAAATTTTAATTAAAAAATTAAAAATAAAAATTTCATTTGTAAAAAACTTAAAAAACTTTAAGTGCAATTTTTAAAAAATATTTTTTTGGTCCAATTAAATGAAAAAAAAAAATTAAAAAAATTAGAAACGTCGGCTAACTTTGTTATTATAAAATTAAATTAGCCGACACTCAAAAATTTTTTATTTTTTTTTTTAAATTAAAAATTATAACTAAAAAATTATTTTTATAAAATTTCACGGATAGTTTTTAAAATTTTCTACATGTGAAAATTTTTGTTTTAATTATTTAAAAATTATTTTTCAATAAAATAAATTATCAAAATTTTCAAATGTTGGCTACTTAACTTAATTTAGTTAAGTTAGCCGACGTTTTTATTTTTTTTTTTTTTAATTATTAAATTAAAACTAAAAAATTGAATAATTTACTTCCAATTATTAATAATAATAAATTGTTATCCAGGAAGACGACCTTCGAGATGACTTTAGGCCGAAAAAAAACTGATAAAGTAAATTGAGTAAGTAGGACATCAACTTTCTTTCGTAAGTTTTAAATCTGCATAATAAATTGATATTGAGAATACGTTAAGTCGGAATTACTACGCTGCTTACAAGCTCCGGCAAAATATCCCGTGCAAAAACTGATCATTAATCGATTATAAATACATAAATAAGTAAAGTAAGTTTTTAAAAATAATTAAACAAGTTTTGAATCAGCGCTGTAACTAAATAACACTGGCCTCGTTAATACTATTTTTACTTTTTGTTATTTTTTTTTTTCGTTTTTTTTTTCAGGGAATATATTAATCGTTAAATTAATTAGAAAAATCGACGTTAATTAATGGTGTAAATGGCATAATAATTTAAAACTCTGTCTCTGGAAAAACGAGAAAGCCTAAAGACTTTTTTTTATCGCTTTTTACTAAAATGGTTTACGAAAAAATAATTGCCGAGGCTGAAGCAAAGAAGAGAAATAGAGAAACTTGAGCCAATTTTCATGGTTCGCGTCTCCTTTCATCGGTTGGGATTCTATACAGATTATCGCACTAATGAAAATGATAATGAACTCTTACATATTAAATATACAATATCCAATGGATAAATATACCTTCTGAGTAATTTTATTGAGCATAAAGCCGTGATACTCTTTACGAAACTCATCATTTATCGTTAGACTTATCGCTGATTATATAGATTTGATACCTCGCTGTTTATTTTCACTTATAGTTGTAATTATCTGATGAAATTTCAAGATACATTAATCAAACAGCTCAATAGTATAAAAATATTTATAATTAATATTTAATAATAAATATATATAGACAGTTTTTATTGTCATTATTATTAATAAAATAAAATTGAATATCATCGTGACGGTTTTTATTTAAAGAACTTTGATATAACTGTCTCGTAAGTATTTAAATTTAACGGTTTCAAATAAACCGGAATGACTTGAAATTATTTGGGTACCATTATATTTGGTACACTTTTTCTTAATAAGAAAGTTTTTCGTTTTATTCGTAATATTTTTTATTTTAAATTGTTCTTTTTCAAAAGCTGTAATCACATTTATTTTTATATCTTTTCAGAAACATATTATAATAAAATCAATAAGGATTAACCTTTTTTAAGTGAAAAAAATTTTAAGAAGAAATTTTATTTTAGCCTCAAAAAAGCTTAATTAAAATAATCAGCCGGTAAGCTGTAATAAGGAACTGAAATAAATAAATAATAAATTTATTATAATTGTCGGCAAAAACAAAATTGTTACTTTAAAAATTGTCACATGTGTGTTACTTTCACTGTCATTTATTTCTTCATTATTTATTAAAGAATTTTTCAGATAAAAATATTTTAATTAAGACACAATTATCAACTTAATTAATTATATTGAGTTTAAAAATAATTGCAAAATTTTTTATTTTTTTATTCGCTTAATTTATTAAATAATAATTAAAAAATTGCACTTATAGTTTTTGAAGTTTTTAACAAATGAAAAAATTTTTTTAAAATTTTTTAGTTATAATTTTTTTATGAAAAATTTTTAGATGTCTGCTAACTTTTTTTTTTATTAAAATTTTTGAAATAATTTATTCGCTTAAAATTTTTTTACACACTTCCTAGTACAAAGATAATAATAATAATTTTTATTCCAGATGAAATGAGATCAATGATGTGTTCAGGCAAAGCGGAAGTGACTCCACCTCTTAAGTAATTCCAAATCGTTAATATCTGTAATTGAAGAAGTAATACCAGAGAAAGGTGCCTCGTGGCTATATACGTGAAGATGTCGTGCTACGAAGGAGGTTTCCGGCTGAATGACGCAGTATCTGAGTGCTCGATGAGAAGCAAAGCCAGGATCGATTCATTATTCGAAGACACTAGGTCAATATGCAGCTCGAGCTACGGAGACGTCTACGGAAGCATCTACGGAAATCTGGGCGATGCTAATCTCGACGAGCAGAAAAAAATAAATGGCGCCATCCAGGCCCGGATTGAGGCCATGTTTGCATCCGTCGAGGCTGAAGCCGGTGAAAAGGGTGAATGCGCGGCCGCTATCTTGCCGGTGATTACATCTATTTTATTTTTATTTATTTATTTATAAAGAAAAAAAACAAAATTAGAAAAAATTTATCTTACAAGTTATCTGATTTGTTATTCAGATAGCTTCCGGATTTATTATTTTATTATCTAAAATTGAAATTATCCTCAAGAATAAGAAATTCCATTGTTATTTTCACACATTTTGCACACTGTATATTTTCACTTATGGTAATGACATTCAAATTTTTATTTTTCTTCTAAAATAAATTTAAAACAGTAAATTATTTTCTTAATTTTAATCTTTAATTCCATCAGAGTTTAATAATATTTATTGATCAATAATTAACGTAATTAAAAATAAAATACTGCATATTAATGACTAGCAAATTTGATTATAAAAAAAATATCTACATATTTTTATTTAACAAACAAAGAAAGTTAACTTTCACGTAAGCTCTTCTGTGAATATACACGCATTATTTTTCCCATTCGTCGCATCACTTTCCTCTTTGGATTGTAAAAATATACGAGCGTAACAGTCAAATAATTGAAGATATCTAATGGCAATAACAATAATAAAAATAAATAAATAAATCATATTATTATATTAAACAAACTCTCGCTGTACCGATCTCCGATCCGATGATTGCTTTATTCAGCATGCACGTACCACTTGTTCATGATGAGTCACGGTCAAGATAATAATTTACAACATAGTTGATCGCGAGCAATTACAACTATAATTAAAATTATCCTATCAATATCCATCATAATTAAAATTATAAATAATTTAATTAAATATTACAACTCGAATTATGAGTAATAATTAAATTATTTTTTAGGTAAAATATCTAGGCGCTGCTCCAGTAGGAGGGAGAATTGCAAGTGTAAGAGGACTCCAGGAGCCACTGAGGCAATTATTGGAACGGATGGAAAATATTGTGTCAGCGGAACTAGAAGTATCGAGGCGTGGTCTGACATTCCGAACACCTGGGTCCATTGAGAAGACAAATCCTTTCCGAAGAATAGCGGTCTGGAGCGCTTTAAGATTGCGTGTAAGACGATTACTGCCTGATGCATCATCAGAAGTGGCGCCGAACGAGTATCACCATGCATTTATCCCGCTAATTGGCGACGAGCAGACACCTGGCAGTGAAGACAAGCACGCTGACTTGTATCGTACGATGCGAGGTCTTGCAACAGATGTTAGTCGGTACCCCCCGCTTTTTGCTGTGGTAATGAGACGTCCCGGAGCAGCGAGAGTACTTGAGTGTCATGTATTTGCCTGCTCAAGCGAGGAAGAAGCTGTTGCTGCCGCTGCGACGTTGTACCGAGCGCTATTAGCAGATCTTGATTCAAATCGCAGACGTCCTAGACAGACCAATGGTCTAGGTTGTGTCAGTCTGGCTTCAGTAGCTTCCAGCGTCGCTGATTATACCTCGATTGCAAGTAAAAATACTTACAATAATTTTCCTGCTAAAGTATCGGCTCCTCATCCTGTCAGACCTCCAAGGTCCAAGAAGAATTCTTCTTTGTCAGGTTCTACGACGGATGGTGGGTCTACCAGGTCAGTTATTATTAATAATGGTAAGGTTGCAAGGCGTAAAAAGACTTCGGAGATCAGGTCTGAGGATGTTGCTGAGGCGAGAAAACGACACAGTCTGATGATGAAGGAGAGAAGTGTTTTGAAAGAACTGAGGGATGATGATTCTGTTAAAGAAAATAGCAGAGAAGTTAAACGGAGAAATTCTATTAATAGGAATAATAATGAAGGTGTTAATTTGAGGAATAAAATTTATTCGGGTGAAGTGCAGGAAAAAATTCAAAATGAAAATGATGTACACTTGAGAATGATGAATAATTATGAGAAAATTCAGAGGAAAGATTTGATGAAGGGAGGATTTGATGAAGGGAGAGAAAATAATTATTCTTTTATTGAGAGAAATAGTAATAATATTGTTGGAGAGGTTTTTAATATGCCAGAGGCTCAATTGTATGAGAGAAATCAGTGCTCTTATGATTTAAATAGAAATAGTAGCAGAAATGAAGTCTATGATGCTCATCGAGGTAAAAAGGAAATTTGCCTGGCTAATAAATGTAATGAAGACAGCTCCAAGAGCTGTGATAATTCTATTTACGGAAAAAGTACGGGTAATTCTAGAAATAGAAGCAAAACTTATGAGGATCATTTTAAAGATGTTGATAAAATTTACACTCTGAGTCAGGAGGATGTTAAAATTCCTGAGCAGAAGAGGAATAGTGTAGCGAGTTCGGTTTCTTCGTGTCGTCATGAGGTTATTAGAAGCGATCGAGGAAGAGCTTTGAAGATAGACCAGCTGGATCCTAGGCTAAGGCGCAATATGAGGAATCAGGAGAGTGTTTATGGCGCGGGAACAATGCAGAGAGTCTCGAGAATCGATGAATTTTCGAAGAAAGTTTCTCAGTCTTCGGACGCTTTTACCTCGGATTTGAGTTACCCGAAATGCAGAAAGAGAGACCGTGCTGGTAGTGAACCTCCGATTAGTAGGACTGAAAATGCAGCCAAGATTAGCCAAGGTATCAAACTTAAACGATCTGTCAGTGATATCGAGGTCGAGAGAGGTGATTTATTGACGAGAGTTGAGCTACCGAGACGGGGAAGTTTTTTGAAATCAAACAGCACTAGGTTACCTACTAATGTTCATGGTGGTACTCCATTGGGATTCACGGAACTGTTTGATGAATTTCGAAATCAAGAAGGATTGACTAGTGTCGATGATATTCTTGATGTTATCATTGGTAAGTTATATAATCTACATTATTAAGAGAATAAAAAAAATTTTATGGTCAGTTTATTTACATGATAAAATGAGTTTTTGTGGTTAAATTTAGTATCGTTGGAAAAGTCTTGACCTGGAGTTGTGCCTTTTCAAGGTTTCATATAATTCTCATTAATAGTCAGTTTATAATGATAAGTATTTAGGCTGCATTTAAAAATACTCTATCTCTAGATATATAATTAAGGAATGACCTTGTATTTTGTAAACTATTGACATTTTTAAAGATATAAGCTCATTCCGATGTTACACTCGTCAAGACCTTTCATTTGAGTACCCACATAAATTTTTCATATATTTTATATATTTATATATATTACATATATGTATATATGAAAAATATATCAAAAATGCATGTGTGTACTCAAATGAAAGCTCTTAAAGAATATAACATCGGGATGAGCTTATATCTTTAAAAATGTCAATAGTTAAGAAATTACATTAAAAATCTTGTCATCTAATGATATTTTTAAAGATATAAGCTCACCCTCACATTACAATCATTGAGACCTTTCATTTAAGTACCCACATCAATTTTTCATATATTTATATATATTACATATATGATGTATATATATATATAAAATGCATGTGGGTACTCAAATGAAAGCTCTTGATGAGTGTAATATCAGGATGAGCTTATATCTTTAAAAATGTTAATAGTTAAAAAAGTACAGTGCAATTTAACAAAAATCATTATTTAATAAAGCAAAATTTTATTTATTTATATTTTACAAGTCACAGCAGTCACATAGTGACTGCAAGAGGTTGCTAGTTTAATTATTAAAAAATGATTACTTTATATTTAATATTTTTTTATAGATCCCGAAGGAATGTCTTTCAATGAATTAAAACCTCTGTACAAAGAATTTCTATTGAAGCTGGCATCAACTTTAACTCAGGATGAATTATACCAGCGGTCAGCAAATATAATGAAACGTAGACGTCGCCCACAGAGAAGAAGATCAACGCGTAAATCTTGTCTTCTCGGACGAGCTATTAGAAGATCTGTTTCTAAATTAAAAACTGGACCAACTGAGTTTACATCAGTGATATTTCCAGCGAGGAAATTCAACGAAAGTTTCGACAGTAGTTCATCTTGTGATATAAGAAATAGCCGAAACAGAGTTCTCGCCAGTAGATTAAGCCGTAGAAAACCCTCATGGAGGAGATCATCAAAAGTAGCCAACTCCGAGGACAGTGATACGTGTAAATTCAATGACTTTTTTTTATAACCAAGTCATAACTATTTACAATGTTTGTAATAATAAGAGTATTGTTTTATTTAAGGCAAGCGTGTGACTCGCAGCGCGGGTGCGAATCGCAGCAGCAGCGGGTACGTGAGTTGCAGCGAGTGTAGCTATGACTCGGAATCATGTACATGTGTATCTGCTGACAAGTGTTATTGCTCACTACCGCGAAGATCTCCTGGACAAGAAGTGACAGCAGCTGTCAATAATCCGGTAATATGTAATTGCGATACAGACAGCTGTTCTGAAAGTAACAAATGCTATTGCGCGACGAGACCCGTCACTCAGCCTACTATCCTAGAACAGCTAAGACAGCGCGGTATAATTCCATCAGAAGGTACTCTTAGTAGAGATTGTAGTCCGGAGAGAGCGAGAATAATAAAAAATAGCAAAAGTCATTCATCTTCACAGAGTCTAGAATATCATAAGGTAAAACTTGTTTTATTTTAAAATAAAACAACTTCAATGAATAAACTCTAATGAGTAAAAGTTATTTATTATATACTCCACTTGATTATAATTTTAGATGCGTCCATCTCCAGTGAGAAGTAGCTCTGACAATTTAGCACTGGACTATGATTTATTCAGCCCTGGTAAAAAATCTCACCAGGCATCAAAGTCAAAGAATGAGAAAGTACTGGTAGTTAGTGCTAGAGACCCACATGGACGGTTAGTTTACGTCGGTGGTAGTGATAGAAACAAAAAATCATTCTCCAATGGTGTGAATCGAACTGGAGCTCATCATGAGGCATTGTCTATTAAAAAATCAGCTGAAATAGCAGCAGTCTTTGGACCAGAGTCTGTAAGAAGCTGCAAAAGAACCAGCAGTATCTCAAGTATGCGAAGTTCTGTCAGTTTAGAAGCTGGTTTAGGTTATTTACCTTGAAGACTTTTATATTACTTTTTAAAACCCACGGGTAATTATAACTTTAATTGTTGCAAGTAGTGTCTAATTATATATCAGGGATATTTGCAATATTTAAGACTGTTATCAACTTTTTTAATCTGGCTCCGTTGCCATCGTTTTAAATAAAACCGCTATTGGATTAAAAAAAAAAAAATAGAAAGATACACATTAAATCTATTAGCATACTTATCATTGTTTTAAGTGACCTGATTACTTTAATCAAACTTATAATACGGGTACGTGCAATTTTACACGTTTATTATTTTAGGAGGCTTACTGTTAATTTTTACTCTGTATCTCATTATTGTAATTTCATTCAGTTTTTTTATTTTATCAAATTAATAAAAACAATTTTATTCACAATCATTCCTTGAGAAATTCTTTATCAATTTCCTGGAATTTTTCCGAATACTTAGAAGGAACTTCTATTTGTTTTAAATTATCTATTCCTATTTCTTCCTCAGTTCTGAAAAAAAAAAAAAAATAAAAAAACAATACTGTTAATATAAAGTATTTTATTATTTATCATAAATAATTAAAATTAATTACCTGATTAATATGTCAATAACATTTTCACAGGCTAGCAAGGCAGCTTTATCTTTTTCCCACTTATGATACTCCCGGAGAATAACGTAAGCATTTTTTTCTCTGATTATTTCCCGCGCTTCTTTAGTAGCGCATAATTGACACAGCGCTTCCAAAATCATAGTTCTAGTAAATGAAAATAAAAATATTAATTTTTTTTTTTTTTATTAATTATTATTTAGACTCGGTTTTAACTGCTATTTAAATTTGTATTTATAAATAGATAGATAGTCTGGTTTTATTCGATCCTGGAGCCTTGGCTTCCTCAGGACCATCAAAATACATTTTTTACAGTGATTGGGACGTATACATAATTTTAAGGGGTACAACTAGTGAGACAGCCTAAAAAAAGGCGATTTTTGGGAATTAAAATAAAATAAACTCCTGTATGAATTGTTTTAAAATTTTAAGGGTATATTAATACATATTTTAAGAATTTACAGTAAAATTTTTGAAGAAAAAAATTAAATATTTTCCGAGTTGCACGCGATTTCCAACGGCGCTAAAAAAAAAGGTCCTCCACTGCTGCAGTGATTCCGGCCTTTTCCATGAATGAAACATAAAAATAAATTGTCGTTCAACTAGAAGATATTATTTGTACAATGACCCTCGGTCGAAAAAAAAATATCAAAAATTGACAAAATGGGGGCGTTTTTAAAAAAAAAAGTTGAATTTTACCCAAAATTTTGGTCGTTTTTGGCCTGCCAAAATTCGATTTTTGATCAGATCAAAAAACTGGAGGGTCATTGTATAGAGAACTATATCCAGAACATTCAGAAAAAAATTTGGTAGTGATCGGATCATTTGTCTTCGAGTAATCACTGCAGCAAATTCGAAAAATGCTGTTTCGAGAAAAACGCGTTTAAAGATAAATTAATCCTATTCTTACTGCCGAGCGGCTACTCTTTAAATGGCTGTAACTCAAAAATTATTTGAGATATCGATTAAAAATTTAAATGTTATTTTTAAAGGTAGAACCTATCTAAATATAAAATCGATTTTTTCAAAATTTCACACTAGTTGTGCCCCTTAAATATTTAGAATAATTTTGACAATTGATATTAATATTAATATTAATGTGAACAGCGATAATACATAGCAAGTGAGTAGTAATAGCGTATCAAACTTTTATGATTCATTATTGTTCATTTTCTACCAAGAAATTCATCAAAGCTACTAGCTGCTAGTTATAAATTAAATAAAAAAAAAAAAATAATAATAATAATAATAATAATAAATATCGTTACCTGATGTCTACATCACGTTCTCGTTCTTTGGTAGCAGGTAAATATTGCAAATCAATTGGTAATTTATCATTATCTTCGTCATCAAATTCCTCTGGACCAGCCAAAGGCAATAGTAAGTGCGAAAGAATGTCAACTTGATCACTAAGAAGCCAAAGATGATTCTCAATATCAAAACAACAATTCTTAAGTGTTCCTACGATACCACCTCGTCTCACCAAACTATCTTTGTACTCCACGAAAGGAAGAAGCTTGTGAATTATGAGAAGGTCTCGATCCATCAAACGACTGTTAAAAATAATCCTTATTTACAAAACAAGTTTATTTATATCCTTAAAGTAAATATTAAACAACCTGACCTTCTGACAATTGGAGACTGACTCAAATTACTCAGCGTCGGTCCAAGATAATGAAGCTTAGCACCTTTCGTGTTATATTTGTCAGCATAAGCAAATGCGTAAACAATTTTATCCCATTTGCAATCAGCCTTCTCAATAAGACTAACTATCCGATCAACCAGAGCCGCTGGTCTTGTCATGTTTGACAGAATCATACAGCATTGATCTGCAAGGGAATTATCTTTGTCTAGAATAAAACTACAAATTAAGTCAACCAGGTGTTAATAATTTATAAAATAAATTTATCAATTCAGGGAATTTTTATCTAAATTGATGATCAGATAAATTACCTGAAGCAAACGTGAATAAGATTATCAGTAGGTCGTTGATTTAATTCACATTTAGAAGCCTCTGAAATAAGTAGCAAAGCTTTAGCACCCGCTTCATCACCAGATATATTTATCAGAGCACGTGCCGCATCTTTAGCAACAGCTAGTCTCTTGGAATCAACTTGGCAGAGTAAAATAAACTGTCGTAAAATTTCCGGACAGCTCAGCAGCATTTCTCTGCCTTTCTCTGTGTTTGTAAGACCTGCAATTACATTTGATTAATAAGCAAGCCTTGAAAAAGCATCACCTTCGATCATAATAATATTTATCAGTAGTAGTGTAATAATAATAATGGTTAAAATTCTTACCAAGAATATTTTGTACAGCAACAGCTTGGAGATCAAGCCGAGCGTCGAAATTCAAATACTCAACCAGTTCTTTTAGCGAGTCCATTGTATTTAATATTTATATTTGACAATTATCATAAGCATCCACCAAAAGTAAGTGTACTTACTTACTCCATTTAAAAAGTCCAACAAAAAATTATGTAGGTTTGTTGAAACGCTTTTGCTTATGATACCGCGTGTAACGATTACCAGCCAATCAAATTCAATTTTTCCCGTTATAACATCCGGAGCAGCGGCTCAACGATTGGTCGGCTTGAAACTCAGGTCCGTATGAATAAGACAGCAGCGCCCCGGGATTTTATCGCACCAGCGCTCGGACGAGTCCATTTTTTCTGTAGGTGTGTCACGTATTCGAATAATTTTTTTTTTTTTTAGGATTCAACCAAATAAACTTTTAAATAATTGCTTTTAAATAAATCACAGACGGTTAACTGATCACTGGTGATCACACAAACTCAAACTAGGTGTTAAAAAACAATATAATTAAATAAAAATACGTAATATATATTAAGTACGTGAGGTTGATTGGTGAGTGTGTACTAAGACTCGAGCACATGACGATGCTTACCTACCCACAACTGAATTTGGACTCAACCTCATTCGTAATTGTCCCGACAGTTCACAATCGGTCACCTGCATGAACGGGTCTCACTTTCTGTTTGTAAGATGTGTCAAGATTTATTGTTGAACAAGGACTGTAAATTTTTATCAACTTTGAGCACATTTAAATTCTTGCTAAGTAAATTATTATTTGAATCACGTGAATTAAATATTTTTGCCGACGAGTTTAAAGTTAAGTTCAAGAGGTTATCATCAGGTAAGTGAAAAAAAAAAAGAAAAATAAAAATATATAATAATAAACCACGAAAAGCAAACCTCAAATCTAACAACTGAACTAAAAAAAAAAAATGTGTGCTGTCTACTCTCTGTTCTGCGAAAGTTTAAGTACTTAGTCATCGTTTTTATTACCTATTATTTATGTTTATTTTAGTAAAACAATTACCGAGTTATAATTTCTGTTGATCTGGATTATAGATTGGTGTGAGAAAATAATGAAAAAACGTGATTGGTGATGTACCTGGTGGAATTTTAAAATTTAAAAAAAAAGATGAGGCGAAGCTCTGAGCTAAGATTGTGTTTTGTTGGAGTTAAATGTGCGATTGTAAATTAAGCGTAGGCTAATGAAAAAAAAGGATGCAAAAATATAAATAATAATAATAATAATTGAGACGGTGATAATCCAATGCAATATGTACACTTGTTATGTTGTATCCATCGGGGCAACCAAAAATAGTTAACAGACTGTCAAAAGGGATTGTGGTATGCTCGTGAAACCGGTCGAGAGGCTTCCCCGCGTCGTTTGGCTCTCCTTGGCGACGACGCTTTTCGTCTTGAGAGTACTCGTGACGCATTTACTCAAGATTTTTAATTATTTTATTTTAAAACACACTCTAATTACCAGTGCTATAGTAAATAATAAATAATTTTTTAAAATATATTTATCGGATGACATAATTAAATAATTTTGCAAAAATTTAATTTTAAATAATTTTATTTAATTATTAAAACGTTTGGTTACATTGTATGATTCATCCTTTTGGACTAAAAATACAGTGCAAATATAAGTACATCTACATATTTACAATAGATGAGTTAATCTTTTTACTTTTATTTCATTCATAATGATTAATCAAATATAATTTTTATTTAAATTAATTGATGAAAAATTCAGAGATTGAAACAAAGTGAATTATTATTGCTGGCAGTCGGCAAATAAAAAAAAAAGTCATATGTTTCAATGTTTATTTATTTATTTATATTTTTTTCACACAAAATATCAGATAATAATTTTATTGCCATTAACTGCACGACATACAAAGCAACAAATTTAATAAAAATTTTCTAAACTGTTAACTAAAGTGTAATTATATTTGATAAAATAGTTGAGGTTATAAATTATGTACAAAGTCATTGATCTATAAATTTTAAATCAACTTTACAGTATTTAATTAACTATATTATTTTTTATATTTACTTGTTTATTTTTTAGTGATACTCCGATGCTAATGCTATCAGTGCTAGTAGAAAAAAAAAAAAGAAAAATAAAAAAAGATTATTGGTATATTTTTCTTTGGTTTTTAGAGTGGTGCAGTCAACTGTATGGTGGTGTTGATTCTGAGCATATCAAGAGGCAGGATTAGTTAAATTTCCAGATAATTAGAGCCTCATATTTGCTAAAAAAAAAAAAAAATACAGACAGCCGGATTATGTTTGCTAAAATAAAATAAAAATATTAAGTGTACACTTGAAAGCACTGCAAAACTGAAAACATCCAAGCTAAGCTGATAAATTTTAACATGTTTATATAGAAAATTTATCCGGAATTTAAATTAATAATTTTTTTCAACGCAATTGCAATAATTAAAAATTAATATTGATTGACAATTTGGAGTTTGAATATTTAAAAAAATAAATATCTATTTATCAAAGCAAGAGATCAGTTCCGCTTTCACCCGCACTGAGAAGTGCACCGATAAGCAGATAAAACTCTTCATCGATGAGTAGTCCCGCCCAATACGAGGCATACCACTATCATATTAATTTCATATATATATTTATATACATACATTAACATGTACATATAGGAAGAAATATTTATTCCACCTTTCATCTGTGTTTAACCATTTTACGTTACATTTCATGCACCAAACTATTCACTTTCCAACGTTCCTCTTTATATTTATATACATATACATAATATACATACATATCATATTATATATATAATATACATATATATATATATATATATATATATATATATATTACGTACACAACACGGCTCGATCGACCGACTACGCGGCTGGCCCGTTCCCTTTTAATAATTTTCCCAGGAGCAAGCTCACTAATATTGTACATATATATTTATATTATAATATAAAATAGCAAAACGTCAATTAATATTTTATCATTTTAATTTTAGTCTTTGTGGCACCGCGTTATATTATAAACACACCGTGATAATTTGCAAAATAATATAACAGCGATGATTTTAAAATTGAAATGGAAGAAATAAAAAAGAGCGACAAAGAATGAAAGAAGAAATAAATAAAAGAAAATGATGATGATGATGATAGGTGAGGTAGTGAGGAGTAGGAGTTAAATTTCAAGTAAAATGGAAGAAGAGAAGACGAGGACAAAGAATTTAATGAGAGTATGTAGGTAGGGATGACCGAACAAGTTGAATTTAGTTTTTTAAGCAGGCGTATACGTTAAATATAATTATAATTGAAAAATAAATTTTTTTCAAAGAAGAAATAAAATTTAAAATTGAAAGTAAATTTTTTTTTTTAGATTTTTCGGGTATATTCTTCGCTGATAGACACTAAGTCGATCGCGCAAATGTACGTACGCGAAATAACGAGTACTTTGGCAGTGATAAGCGCACAACAGTCGAATGTACAGACAGACGAGCGTTTTGGTGAGCTGTAGCGAGTAAAAGGTTTAGTTTGAGAGGGGCGCAGTCTCTAGCGTTAACATTTATGTGTATGTAATATTTAATACTTGGATTTAATGTTACTGGTAGTGGTGGATGACTGTGGAGTGTCATGGTACGCGCAGCGAGAAGTTCTGATTCTAAGAGAAGGAGAGAATAAATATTGAGAGTTGGGTCCCCAGTACAGGGTTAGGTTTAAATAGTAATTGTGGTAGTAGTTTAATGTATATACATATAAAATTATGTTGTATGTAATGTAATGTAGGATGTAGGGAATAGAATGAAATGTAATGGAAGAGAAGAGAAACTTGTAGATGTTCTGGTAAAAAATTAGTAGTGGTAGCGATACTCCATCTTTGTTTGTGATGGTCGTCAGCCAATGAGATTGGATTTCTCTGAGGAACCAGCCAGTAGCGTTTAACGACAGATACGCTAGGACCGCGCAGCTTGTCCGTAAAACGTATACGTATCACTACCACCACTTGACTACTTGTGTGTATATTTAATGTACTATTACAACTACCGATGAAAATAAGCTGGCGTATGGAGCGACAAACGCAATAACCCAAGAACAACCAACAGGATCCGAATGTTTGTTTTTTATTTTATAAAATAAAATCTAATATTTTATATTAAAAACTAACTGACCAGTTTATCGCGTAATTATTTATTTATTTAGTGGGCCGAGTGTCTCACAATCACGATTTTAGTCCGGAGTTTTAAGAACACGCGTTTTGTGCGACTTACCACCAAAATGCGGTTTTGCGCAGTTTCCATGACCCAGATTGACAATGGGGAGTTTGCTCGGTACACGGAACAGCTGTTGGCCGCGCTAACATGTCGGCCGGAGCAAGGAAGAGACGGCTTGGATATTTTGTTGACTGCGCGCGCCTCTTGGCGGCTTCGTACCTACAATTTTCAGGGCCGTAAATATTATTTTGTTGGTTGGTATATTACAATACATACTGCTTAAGTTTTAATATAATTATTATTATTGTATATATCTATACTTACATCTTGTCTACCTGTACTGCATTTTTTTTTTCTTTCTGCATCCGTATAATACTTTTGTGTGTACGTAGGGAGAAGAGTAACCAAAAGTCAAGTACAGTAACGAAAAAAAAAAATAAAATAATTAAAACCAGGGTAACATTTGTGTCTACTGCTGCCGCCAACTAATGCTCGCGCATACGACTGGAGATACCTTTTTTATTTTATTTCTTCAAAAACTCACCGATGCCGTGCAAATTTCAGCAGATCACCAGAACAGAGCTGGTGAATTTTATTAATTAATTTTCCAGTACTTTTTTTTGTACTTAATTATCCATTAAATTAATTTATTATTATTGTAAGTATTTTGAAAAGAAAATACCTGATTTGAAAAATGACCGAGGGATTCCCTCCGAATTTTAGAGTGGAATGACCTCGTTGACAGGTGTGTGTTTTAAAATGACCATAAAAGTAATTTTATGGCTGTTTTTATTATTTTTAGGTTAAAATAAACAAAACACAAGTATGATTGTTGATTAATAGTATTTTTTTGTCGCGCAGGTATGAAAATAAATTGTCCATTACATCATAAGAATGACAAAGAATAAAGATAATACGGTTGGTAGCGCCGGGAGCCCGGCCACGACGGCGTCTCTCGGTACGTTCCTGGGGTTGTCCCCCTCCTGGGCGACGTCTCGCTATACACGACCAGTCAGTTCCTTGTTTGCCATACAAAATCCAATAGTTTGCCTTTGGTACTCCGAGCGTGCAAATAGACTTATACGTATAAAAAATTAATTTGCTAATTATTTTTCACACTGGAAATATTTTTATCTAAATAAACAAAAAATCTGGACTGTTTAGTAAACAACTAAAACTGTTGCTCAACAGCTGAGAAGGATAAATAAATAAATATTTATTTATTTAATAAGACAACAAAGTAAGGAAAATTGTGATAAAAAATGGACGTGATGGGTTTAGGACACTGGTATTCACGTGGAGATAACGTTTATGTGTACGCCGCAAAGTTAAAATGCAAAAGAGAATAGTTATTTTGAGTTTAGTTGGTTTTTTAGCGTGTGGACGTGTGTGAACTGCTGGTGTGTGTACATGTATGCTGGACCGGCCTGTCTACGTATCACGACGTCTAATTTATTATTTGGTGTGTCTTTATAAAAAAAAAAAAAAAAAAGACACGTTAATAAATTTTTAAAAAGTGGTTACTGTAAAGAGCAAGCCAACGTTTTTTTAATCAGCTTGTCGTCATCATCATCATCATAATAAATTACCAGCAGTTACGCGGTTATTTTTTAAAACACCAAGCGTTTTAGTAAATGTGTTACGTGTGAGGGTGTTGAGTCTCTTCTGGAGTGTTGGGATAAAAAAAAAAAAAAAAAAAAAAAAAAAAAGAGGTGTTGATCCAGGAGTCGGTAGTTGGTAGAGCTTCCTGCTGGTCGTCAAGGGACCCACACCTCAACCTTGTCGAGCCAGTAATTAACTACAAGCCAAGCAAGATTGTCTTCCTCGTGGTATGTAGTTATTTTCACTGGAGCACTACACCAACTAAATAAAAAATATAAAAAAGTATATATAACGGCTGCTACCGCGCGTTAAATGTGTGTAGTGTGTTATGTATTTACGAAGAATATATTGCGTAACGTCGACGGCCGGAAAACGTTCAACGCGTGTGGCATCACGGTGAACAAAAAAATAATAACTATTATTTTTTAGATTACAATAAATACTAAAAATATTTTTATTGTTTTGACAAATTTTATTTTTTTTTTTTATTTAAGACTTTATCTCGTTCTCGTGCGCTCATAAACTACCACCACTGTGTGCTTGGAGAATTTTTACGCGTCCCTTTGCGCGCAGAAACCTACCTACTACTACTGGTACACGACTTGTACATCGTCAACACAGCGCAGAATAGCAGAAGCAACACTAATACTAACAAGGGCGGCCCCCCTCAATATCTATCTCGTGTCTGCTTTGCCTTGTTCTCCACGATTCTGTCTATGTATATGTATATATTTATATAAATATATGTATACATATATGTATGAATTAAATGTATTAGTGAGAACGTTAAAGTTTCCTCGTGTGTGATCGCCCGCTTTGCTTTTGCCGGCAAATTTACTCCTACATTGTGTGTGTGTGTGTGTGTGTACGCGTTTATTCTTACTCACCACCCGGAGCACTGACTCTGATGACATACTCATCTTCTTGAACTCCTGGTGGCCGTAGTGTCATCCAGCTGTGAGTGAGATAGGATTTTTGCAATAAAACTCTATTAATAATTAAATTCAAATAAAAAAAAAAATCACTTTGAACGATTGAAATTAAAAAAATAAATAAATTTGCGTGATTTTCTGAGGGAGTTTGTTGGCGTACTTCCAGATGGAAATTGGTAAATTATTTGGTTGTTTGTGAACAATAATTAGATATATAATTTAGGGATAATTGTTTTGTGTATTGAATTTATGGCTTGACTGTTTAATTTATATTTCTATACATTAATTTAATTGAGTAATTGATATAAAAATTAATGTAATTTTTTATTTAAATATGTTTCAGAGCTAGTTGATTCATCCGATTGTACCTTCATCTGATAGGTAAGTGTCTCGTTATTAATTTTTGACACTAAAATACTTTCTATACTTTCTCCTGGTTGCCAGACGAGTTTTTATTGTGAGTGGTTTTTTTTTTTTTTTTTTTTAATTCTATTAAATGTTTTTTTATAAACTATTTTATTGTTTCATACTGCATACTCTAATTTATTTTCTTGATCTTGTCTGTAGAATTTCCAATGTAATTTGAAATGAAACGAGCTCGTGGGGTGGACGAAGTAGCAACGACAGCAGGAGCAACACTAAAGCATTCTACATTGGGAGGAGGTGGAGGTTTAAACGTAGGTGGATTAGGAGGTGGTGGTGGTGGTAGTGTTAATTTGGAGTATCACTCAACAACTGGAATAGGTGTTGGAATTAATTCTGGTCAAGCTGTAAGACCTATTACGTCTAAAGACATGCCAGGCAGCATACAGTTTGGAACTACCCAAACGCAACAGCCATATTCTGGGGCTATTGTTGTGCCCCAAGCGAGCCCATCGCCCGTCAAGGTAACATGCAATCTTTAGTTGTTCTTCTTATCTGTTGTTAATTTATGTTGGATTATCTATGAGAATTTTATAGTTTGTGTGTCAGTTTGATTTAAATATAAAGTTTTTAAAAGTATTAGATTATTAATAAATGAATTAAAAAAAAAAAAAAAACATCCAAATCTTTCTCAGACTAGTAGCTTGAGCACCACGTGTAGTAGCAATATCACGACTGAGATACTGCACAGTAATACTGGCCTGGGTGAAAGAGTTGGCTATTGTTTTTCAACACATAAACTTTTGTATAATATGCTTAGGTGTTTACGTTATAATAATAAATTTTGACCTTCTAATTAGCAAATTGTCTAACTCCATTTTAGAAAATCTTCCATTTGTTCGAAAAAACAATTAGTTAAAAATTTATTATTACTTTAAAAAACTATTTAATATTTAATAGAAGTTTAATATTTTGATTTGGATCATTCAAATAATTTATAATTGGATTATTGCTACATCAAAATGTTAAAAAATCACCCTCTACATTGAGAAAAAATAATACTTTTACTCCATTAACGATTTCTTGGTTCAAGAAACTCGCTGACGATCAAATATTCTATTATGATTATTAATTTCTGAATAAAGAGCATAAATATTTATCTTTGGATGATAGATAAATGAAAAAATAACTTTATTTAAATTAAATAAAAATTATTTCAATCAATTTAAAAATTTCTTGAGCTAAGAATATACTTGAAAATTTTCAAGAACAAATTCTTGTATCAAGAAAATTTTCTTAATAAAGGTATTTTTTTTTCTCAATATACAAAATAAAGAGTTAGACCAATTGCTAATTAGATCGTTGATTTGTTTGTTTTTTTTTTTTTATTCACTCTTTATTTATTAATATCACAGGTGCATTCTACGAGTGGAGCACCATTACCGCCTACACCCCCTGGTGGTGGTGTTGGAGGTGGATCTCAACAACAAGCATTTCAAAGGCTGAAAGTCGAGGATGCTCTCTCGTATTTAGATCAAGTTAAATACAAGTTCAGCGACCAACCTCAGGTAATTATTGAGCTTAACTCAATAATTTAACTCAAGTTGATTAAAAATGATCTTATTTATTTATTATTAATTTTTCTTTTTGCTGTTATGATTATTCAGGTTTACAATGACTTCCTGGATATTATGAAAGAATTTAAATCCCAGAGCATAGATACACCGGGAGTTATATCAAGGGTCAGTAATTTATTTAAAGGACATCCGGAGTTAATAGTCGGGTTCAATACGTTTTTACCGCCGGGTTACAAGATAGAGGTTCATTCAAACGAGCAAGGTTTTGCTTTTCAAGTTTCGGTGAGCATGCCGAGTCCAACGTCAACACATACGTCCACAATATCGCAGCAACACTGCACTGTTAACGTGGGTTCACCACCGGTAGCGAGTCCACCGAGTCAACCAGCAAAAGCACCATCAGTCCTTCACATAATGCAAGGAACTGGAAACATACATCACACGATGGCGAATAATGTTACAAATAATAGTTTGACTGTTCACGCGGCGTCTTCCCCACCGCCAATACAACCTTTTAATAATAATTCGCATATAAACGCGGCGCACGCGCAAATTGTCAGTCAAGCCCTGAGTCAAGCGCAGGACGGTGCTGTTCAGAATAGCGGCAGTGGACAGACGCCGCAGAATCAACCGGTCGAATTTAATCATGCCATCAACTACGTCAATAAGATTAAAGTGAGTAACTATTACTGAGTATATTTAAACTCTTTACGTCAAAGACAAACTAAACCGAATAATATAATAAACGTATGTACATATATATATATACATTAAACAAATATGGATGTATATAAATTATATATGTGTTGGCTTGTGGATATGGTTGTTCTAAAGTAAATATTTGTTGTATTATTTTTTTAATAGCATCGATTTCAAGGCCAGCCAGATAAGTATAAACGCTTTTTGGAAATCTTACATACATATCAAAAAGAACAGCGACACCTGAAAGATGGCAATCATTTGGGTGGCGGAAGTGGCAGCGGTGGTGCTGGACCTGCTGGTAAACACCTTACTGAAGCAGAGGTCTACAGTCAAGTCGCCAAACTCTTTGAAAATCAAGACGATCTTCTTGCTGAGTTTGGACAATTTTTACCTGATGCTACGAATCAACAGAATTCATTGGTGAGTTGAATTATCTGTTAAAAATTAGAAAAACGCTTGATTCTAAAGGCCATCGCTGCTACTTCCTGCTAATTCTATAAATAAGCGCTTAAAATTGCACTAATTACGTTTTTGAGCTCAAAAATATAATTTTCGTGTCATTTTCCGAGCTCAAAAATCTGATAAAAATTTAATAAAACACTATTTTTTGAATTTTCGATTCACAATAATTTTTTAATAAATCAACCATTCGACGCATTTTTTCAAGCCTCATAAATAATTCTTAAGTTTCAATTGATTGAATTAAAAATTCCGAAAAAAACACTTTTTTGGATTTTCTTTCGACAACGATAACTCACGAACAAATCAACCGATTTCGACCGGGCTGGCGGCGATCGACGTGATTTTTTGATGTTAAGAGCTGATTAATTTTTTGAATCGATCGGTAAAGCCGTTTCAAAGTTATTCCAAAAAAAACCACATTCAAAAAAAATTTTTTTTTGTAGTTTTTTTTGAAATTTCTCAAAATCTACCGGTTCGAATCGGTTCAAATTATACTTAAAATCTAAGTTTGATCAAGCCCTTTCGAATGGCGCCAACCGCGAAGAAATCAGTCAAGCCGTTTAAAAGTTATAAGAGGATTACATACATACATACATACATACGGACATCATCGCGGAAAGTTCCCGATTTTTAAAAATTTTCAATTTTCTTAGTGGAAAGTTTCCAAATTTATGTATCAATCAATTGAAAAATAAAAAATAAAATTGATAAAATATAACTTGATTCTAATTTTTCCTAGTCTGCTATGTTCCAGGGGAATAAAACCGCAGCGGTTAACGATCACAGTACGATCGTTAAAAAACCGCTAGGACCTAAAGCTTCGTACAACAATGCGGGTAACATACCTCGGGATCATCGAGGAGATGCTGTTGGTGGGACAGTGGTTAATCTTGATCGTGATGGCAGAGATCATCGTGATCGAGATCGTGAACGTGATAGGACTGGAATCAGGGATATAAATAGTAGTCAAAAATTCGGTCACAATGCCGGTCAGTTGAAGAGGAGTCCATCCTTCTCGACGTCTGTGTCGACGGGGAATTCTCACCATGTACCTCATGGACCACCTCCACTTAAAAAACACAAACTAACGGCGTCTGCTCGTGATATAACCATCGCTGAGGCCGGAAAATATGGTTCTCTCAGTGATTATGCGTTCTTCGATAAAGTTCGCAAACACTTGAAATCAACTGAAGTTTATGACAATTTTTTAAGATGTTTGGTGATATTTAATGATGAAGTTATTTCTAAATCGGAAATGGTATTATTGGTGACACCGTTTCTCGGTAAATCTCCCGATCTTTTGCGGTGGTTTAAAGACTTTCTTGGTCACTTGCCGGAATCGACTGGTGTTACGTCGTCGAATTCCACTAGTGGGGTTAATATTGAGGCTCTTCCTAATAAAGTTGTCAGAAGTCATCAGGATCGTCCTCAAGGTGACCTCGCTATGGAAATCGATTACTCAACGTGTAAACGATTAGGTGCCTCTTATTGTGCATTACCTAAATCTTATATTCAACCCAAGTGTACAGGTAGAACCGAACTTTGTAAAGAAGTGCTCAATGATACCTGGGTATCGTTCCCAACATGGTCGGAGGACAGTACATTCGTCACATCTAGGTAAATATATATTTATTTTTATTTTTTATTTTTTTACAATGAAAATTAAGTTTTAGCAATAAAGTTAGCTGACGTTTTTAATTTTTTTTTTCTCATTAAATTACAACTAAAAAATATTTTTTAAAAATTGCACTTGTATTTTTTAAATTTTTTTACAAATGAAGTTTTTTTTTTATTTTTCTGTGATAACTTTTTCAAAAAAAAAAAAAAAAAAAAAAAAAAAATTAAAAAAATTTTCATTATAAAAATTTTTAGATGTCGGCTAATTTAATTTTCATAATTAAGTTAGCTGACATTTCAAAATTTTTAGAAATTTTTTATTGAAAAAATTTCAATTAAACAATTAAAAAAAAAAAAAAAAATTTCACATGTAAAAAACTTGAAAAACTATAAGTGCAATTTTTTAGAAATATCTTTTTAGTTGTATTTTAATTAATAAAACTAATCAAAAAATTTTAGACGTCTGCTAACTTCAGTGTCATTTTTTTACATCGTCCTATTTATTTATTTATTTATTTATTTATTATTAGAAAAACTCAATACGAAGAAATAATCTATCGTTGTGAAGACGAAAGATTTGAGCTTGACGGTGTCATAGAAACGAATGCAGCGACGATAAGAGTGCTGGAAGGTGTTAAAAAAAAGATGAGTAGGTTGTCCCAAGAAGATTTACAAACATTCAAACTCGATGACAATCTCGGTGGTTTGTCGCCAACGATACACCAGCGTGCAATCAAGCGAATATACGGGGACAAAGCAGCGGATATAATCGATGGACTGAAGAAAAATCCAGTTGTGGCTGTACCTGTAGTGCTCAAGAGATTGAAAAATAAGGAAGAGGAGTGGCGAGAAGCGCAAAAGGGTTTTAATAAACTTTGGCGAGAGCAAAATGAAAAATTCTACTTAAAATCCTTGGATCACCAGAGCATTAATTTTAAACAAAACGACCTCAAAGCTCTCAGGTCTAAGAGTCTTTTTAATGAAATAGAAACTCTGTATGATGAGGTACTTGTTTGTTTTTTAAATAAGTACTAATATTTTAAATATTTAATTACCTTGTTAATATTTACTTATTTTGTTTTTGTTTTGTTTACTTCAGCGACACGAGCAAGTGGATGATACAAGTGGTGAAAGCCAGAATAATGGCGGACCTCACTTGGTGCTAGCCTATAAAGACAAATCAGTGTTGGATGACGCGGCAAATTTACTGATTCATCATGTAAAAAGACAAACTGGAATACACAAAGAAGAAAAGAAACGAATTAAAATTCTTCTCAAGCATTTCATACCTGATCTCTTTTTCCATCAACGTCAAGAGTTGAGCGACGATGAGCGCGACGACGATGGTAAATTATATATATTTATTTATTTATTTATTTATTTTTAGTAGATTCCATAGAAATCTAACTATTGCATTGGTTCTCATGACGGAAATTTTGACTAATTTTACTATATCCCGACGTAACTCGACGAGCTGAGTCAGAAAATACATATAGTTCAAAAGTCAAGTTCGAAAATAAGCTTAATCGGTCAAGTAATTTAGAAATGTCAGGATTTTAAAATTTTAAAAATCATAAAAATTCATATCTCTTCACTTTCTTACTCGAATAACTTTTGAATGGGACAACTTATTGAAACTCTGTAAATCGCATCTGAAAGCTTTTTAAATAAGCTTTAATTTGAGTACCATATCATATGTGTAGTCTTAAAATTATGTCCTATTCCGCTATGGCAATTATGAAATTTGCTATTGCACTGGTTTTAATATTTTTCCGTCAATATATATTTTTGTCGATTGCATAGAAGTTAAAAGCCCTAGTTTTGTATACAATCCTCATTATATTTTTTTTCTATTTATGATGAAATCTACTTCCATTTCGGCTGCCGAATGGTTTTTTTTTTTTTTTTTTTTATATGCTTATTGTCTTTAAAAAAAAAAAAAAAATAATATCAATGATTACAGACGAAAAAGAAGAAACAAACGCCACGCCATGTGGGAGCGGCTCACAAAGTCTTACCTCGTCGACGTCGCCAATTGGCGGTCTTCAAGGTACAAGAAATAAAACATCACAGTCACCACCAAATTCGTCAATTAAAATAGAACCAGATGTTAAGCTACCTATTCATGCATTATCGACTGATCCTGAGGAGGCTTACACGCTATTTATGGGAAGTAATAGCTGGTATCTATTCCTGAGGTTACACCAGATACTTTGTGAGAGGCTGACGAAAATGTATGATAGAGCAGTAGTACTTGCTGAGGAAGAATCCCGGTATAAACAGCAGAGAAAGGAGAGCACTGCTGTTGCATTGAGGTTAAAACCAAAGAGTAAGTATACTAATACGTCATTGCTATTATCTGTTACAGGTATTTCTGTTCACTGGAACGTACTGATTATTTTTAATTCATATAATTAATTATAAACTTTCCCAATCATTGGTCACGCCTCATTTATTTATTTATATATATATATTTTTTTTTTAATTTTTAGGTGAGGTTGAAATAGAAGATTACTATCCAGCCTTTCTCGATATGGTGAAGAATGTACTCGACGGTAACATGGAAAGTACGGTGTACGAAGATTCACTTCGGGAAATGTTTGGTATCCACGCATACACAGCCTTTACCTTGGACAAAGTCGTTACCTACGCTGTACGACAGGTAAGAGTCGTTAGTAAATTAAAAGTTCAATTACAACGGTAGTTATTATGCGGGTTCTCGTTAAAATAGACTGATATTAAAGTAAATTAATAGATGCCTATGGTAGTAAATGGCGTAGTTATCGCGTGACGTTCAGTGACATTCCCCATACCATCTGGCTGATTGGAAAGTCTATTTAACTACACTATTATCGGGCTGTCATTACGATAATTTATATGTATTTTTTTTTATGTGCGCAGTTGCAGCATTTGGTGGCTGACACAATATGTCAACAGTGTATGGATCTGTTTCAACGCGAACAGCGTCAACCTAAAGAGAATAGCGGAGCTGGCGGTCTTTGTGCTACAGCTTGCCTACGACTACCCGCTGAAATGGCTTATCAAAGGCGAGCTGAGAAAGCCATGGCCGAGGAAAATTGCTTCAAGATATATATTGTGAGTATTTATAGAAGTTTGATAACTTTAATAGAAGTTGATATTTTTTTTATTATTCACTTTGGATAATTAATATTTACTAACAACCTTGCAGTCACTAAACTGCCGTGACTTGCAAATTATATAAATTAAATTTTGCTTTATTAAATAATGACTTTTGTTAAGTTGTACTGTATTTTCTTAAATATTGACGCTTTTAAAGATATAAGCTCATCCCGATGTTACACTCATCAAGAGCTTTCATTTGAATACCCACATGCATTTTCATATATTTTTCATATATACATATATATATATATATTTTAAATATATAAAATATATGAAAAATTGATGTGGGTACTCAAATGAAAGGTCTCGATGAGTGTAACATCGCGATGAGCTTATATCTTTAAAAATGTCAATTGTTCACAAGATACACATCATAATAAATTGACTATCCTAGACACAAAATTCTTCTTACTCTCTTTATAATATAGATTAATCATACTGAGTGAATAAATAGACAAATAAGGTGTGTTGTAATAACAAATAATGATAATTTGATTGATATTGCAGTACAAGAAAGAGTGTAAAATGACTATTGAATTATTGGATACGGAAGGCGAGGAAACGGCTGATGGTTGTAACGAGAAAGAAAGAGAGGATGTAAATACTACTGAAAAATGGTCATCGTATCTTGACAGATTCTCGACACCGGTGGCACAACCCAGTCCGAAGGAAACATCGTCATCACCGAACAATGAGCTAACCACCAATCATCCTGTGAGTAGCGACCAGGCAGCAAGGGGGGGAAGGGGCAGAAAGCGCAAGAACACTGACATTAATAAGAAGGTATAGGATCCACGACCCCTTATCATCAAATCATTGCCGCCATTGTAGCTTGCATTCGTTCGTTTATCCCGTAATTGTGAATTGCAACCGACAATAAGTAATCACCAAGAATTTAATTCGTCTTAAAAAGAAAAGTTTTAAAATAAGTGAACGCCTACCATCGAACCATTACCAACGAACATTTATAATTTATTCTAATCTGATTCTTTCGACTATCGCATCGCTCACATACTTTGCTACGATATAATCTATTATTCAGAATGGCATTGCCGCCAGTATTATCAGTTTATTTTATTTATTTTCATGTTCTAAAGTTTCTTTATTTTAATTTTTAAATAATATAAATTTTTAATTCATAACTTCAAATCAAGGATTTCATTATCTAGTTTGTAAATCGCGATTAAATATTTAACAATCATCAGCTTTCAGTAAAACTAAAACTGGTAAAAGTACTAACTGTAATTGTCATATGTTATCAGTTATCAGTTATATTTAAATTGTCATAATTTTTCATGTTTATCATTTCATCTAAATCCAACCCTCGGCATTCCGGCCTGTGCTTTCTTGCCCCTCTTTTTTTTATTATTTTTTTTTTTTTTAATTATAATTATTTACTTTTTCTACGTACATACATATTTTTTTTTTATTTAAATATTTAAGACCAATAATTTTTTATATCATTACTTTTTTTTTAAACTCACATGTAATAAGAATTGATGCTGATTACGTTCGATTGTCTTCAATCAACAGCCAATTTAATAGATCATTATTTTCTCACGTTTTTATTTAACGCGACCAATCACACTTAAAAGTAAAAATAACTTCCAATGTTATACTATTATTTAATCTAAGAAAAATTAGTTTTACATAAATTGTCGTTGATTAACTGTACGACAATTACAATGGTCATTGTCTCTGGTGTTTTGGTGATTTTTTTATGTTCTACTAATCTTACTGTACACATATCTAAATAATTTTTTAACATCAAAAGTACTATAAAACAAGAAAAAAAAAAACAGTATTTCTTTTAGTTAATTAAACAACTTTTCTATTTTTAAAAATGTAGTATTATTTTTTCTGAAGCTACTGTTTACTTTCTGACGCCAATTGAAATCTGTTTTTAAATTTCAATGGAGCATGTATGAAATAAAAAAAAAAAAAAAAAAAAAGGAGTAATTTATATTGAAGGTGGCAATAATAGGATTCACACGGGATATTTTAATTTTGTGCATGGATAATCAAAGTCTTTCGACACATTGCACTTGTGTTAATTTAGAAAACTACAACACTCGTGTGAATGAAAGATGTAATAAATTTTTAAGTTTAACACGTTTACCGTTAGCAGTGTCAACGACCGGTAAATATTAATATTGTCAATAATCATTATATATTTAAATATAAGGTCTATAATAATTTACGGTAAGCGTGTTAAATTAAATAATAGCAACGCGTCTTTCTTACGTGCAGTTAAACTAAAAAAAAATGTAATTACTTCCATATACTTTACTATTATTATTATTTTTGTCATAATTATTATAAAATACTTTGATACGTTGTAAGAGGTCAGTGTAACGAGTCGGAAACAATTCACTATTGATGAGCGAGCCAGGCAAGCGACAACCGCGTGAGATTGACTGTGACTTTCAAATAATATATAACTATTTAAATATACATATATATATTGACAAAAATATATATAAGTGTGTATAGATGTATTAATTGAGCGTAAGGATTTGTGTATATATGTGTCTATAGATATATCTATATATATACATTTAATAATTAATAATTAAAAGGATAATAATTAATATTAATGTACATAGTTTTTTTTATACGTATCGCGCTAATTCCATTTAGGGTCTGACTCTTTGTTATTAATAAGCGGGTTATTATTAATTATTTTAAACAATCTCTTCGGATGATTTATTAAATCACGAACAGTTTGTTGTTGTATAAAATATATAAATTATAATATCGTTAGATAAAAATGGTAAATAATTAAGAAAAAAGAAAACGTCTTGTGGATTTTACATCGTTAAAATTGTATGAAAATATTTTTTTTACGCGAAAATGTGTGACTAGATAAAACTGAAAGAAAATATTAATGAAAAAAAAAAAAAAAAATTATTTAAATTACAATATGGCAATATCTCAAAGATCTCAGCAATGTTTTTTTACACTTTTTTAAGTGCAACTAACTGAAAGCTTAAAAGTTTAAACAAATAATAAGTAACTGAAACAAAAGATAAAAAGTTCAAAGTAAATTTATAATAAGTTATAAAATTTTTCATGTTAAGTAAATTAATAATAATTTGTACAAAGTTGTGACACGAGAGTGGCCGTGTCAAGTGATAAATTGACATTTCGATAAAAAGAAAAATCAACTAGTAATTTTAAACACAAAGCAAGAAAAAAATCATTTTTTATATTTAACTTTAATCAAAATTATTTAATGGTTGATGGTATTAGTTTTAAAAAATATTACATCGGTATGATTAAATTTCGCGTTATATTAATTTGTCTAAAAAAAATTTTTTTTTTAAACAGCCACTGTATTTATAGAGCATAAATAATAGTCGTTAATTTTATAAATTCGAGCCATTTGTATTTACAATGATTGGAAACAAAAAAAAAAATTTTTATTTATTTTTCTATACTTTTTTTCTGTTGGTGCATCAAACGCACGTTAAATCCGTCTAAGTGTGACGTAAAAAAAATGTACTCGTTGAGAATTTACTTAGAGTGAAATCTAAACGCAAAAACGTTTGTTCAGTTGATATAAAAAAATATAAAAATAAGAAAACAAAGTTATGTAAAGTTTTTGTCTTGCATACCTGCCGCAGGTCGTGCGGGATAATTGGCAAATAAGAACTCGCTGTCTTGCCTAGCAATGAGACAAATGAATATAAATCTACTATTAAGTAAAATGATAAAATTATCCGTGTAAATAGATAAATATAATATTATTATTAATAAGATAAAAAGTAATAATAATTTCTAACTAGCTTACGAGAAATTAGATTAAAAGCAACAGAAACAAAATATTTAAGCAAAAGATAAAAGAGATTATTAAAAAAATTTGTATGAATTGCCGCGTAGATTTCTCCGAATGCCCAGAACCTCATTGAAGACACTTGTAACATATTTTCATCGAGACTAGTCCATCGTCCGTAATATTTCGACGTTATGTCAATGTTGTGTATCTACGAAAGTAATGAACGAATGAATGAATGAAGAAATTCGCATCTCCCAACCCTTTCACGATAATCCCTTTATATAAACGAATTTTAATCTCTATATATATATATATATATATATATGACTAAATGATATATACATCAATATAAATATATATATATATACATAAATGAAAATGATAAACAATATTGTATAGAAGAGAGATATTGAAATACATGAACGATGCTTTTAAAAAAACAAATATATATTTATCGTCTAACATCATTTTTGTACCACTAAATATGTTGCTTTTTGATCGTTCTCATTTTTTTTTACTGCAATTCGCTATCAATTTTTTTTTTAATTTTATTTTTTTTTATTTGCAAACTGACAAACTTGCCGAAGCTTTACTTTGCTAAAATTTAATTTACATCCTCGCTTTTATCTTTGCATTCCTTGATTTTAAAAATAATTCAGATTATAAATTTCAATAGCCTATTTATTTAAATTATTTATAACAATAATATTAATAATAATTATAGTATTAATAATAATAATAATAATAATATATCTCTTTTCTAATATAATAATGAAAAAAAATTTAAGCAGTTTAGTTTTATTTTTTTTTTCAAGATAAATAAAAAAAAATTTTTCAAATAATCGACCAGCGAAGATTGAATGGAATTAAGTGAGCCTTATAAATCAATTGTACTGAATTAAAAGCCTTTATTAAAATGAATAATATAAAGCGAGGAAAGGAGCATGGTCTCGTTAAATTATCAAGTAGGTGCATTTAAAACACTTGCACCGATATACAAATAATTAATTAGGTGCACTCCGATTGATTGATTGATTGATTGAATACTTTTTTATTTATTTTATTCATTCTGTACATTATTATTATTATTATATTTTTAAATTAATTAATTAATTAATAACTTTATTTTATTAGAAGAATTGCATCAAACGTTATTATAAAATCGGCCGGGTCTACGTACGAAGTTAGCGGTTTCCTAAAAAATGTCTCGATGAAAATATGAACTATTTTTTTAAATCAATTATTATTAAAGAAAAAAATATATATATTTATAAGTGGCAATTCGATAAATTTAGGATATTTAAAACCTTCGTTCTAGACCCTTCCGATTAATGAGGAGCACGTTAATTCTCAACTGATGATTAATGCTAGTTTAATTATTTATTATTTTACTATTCTTCTGCATTTAAATTTAATATATTTATAACTTAACTTTCTGTTAACAATGGAATGCTTAAAAGTATTTTCGCTTTTCATAATCACTCGCTTCTTTCAATTCTAAGCTTTTTTCACTTCATCAAGCATGCATTACAACCCACATTGTTAGAAAAAAAAATCCGTTTCAACGAATCTTGCAAGTTATTCATAGCAGTGGCTGTTACTGAACAATTGAATAAATTTTTTAATCAAATTCCCTTTAAATAAAATTTAGAACAAATATTTTATCTAGTAAACTGCCTGTTAAATTTTTTTTTACTTAAAAAAAAAATATACTTAACATGATTAAATTAATGCATCTATTTTTTTATTCCGAGTTATGATAAACAAGTAGAAATTTTATTTTTTACTGTTATTGATATTAATATTAATAAGTGTAAATAATTAAAGAGAAATTACGAATAATTATAATTGTTTTAGGTCGAAGGAAACGGTTGGAGCTCGCTAGGAAAAAATTTTGCTGGTCGCAAGCCTGTATTTCTGTCTAGAAATGTTAGACAGTCGAGAAAACACTCCGGAAGAACGATGAAGCTACGGAATAACCCCAACAAAAATTCTGAGTAAGTAATAAGTGGATTAATCAATATATTTTATTAATTTGTTTATTTTAGTTAATTGGAACAGTAGATTGTAATTATATAAATTGATTATTTCATAGGAGCTCGACTGAAGGTGGAAAGGGTGAACAAGAGATGGACGTTGACAATGATATGTTGAAAGGGTCAGCGACATTAAGAATGACAGGGACAAATGACAATGATGATATGATCGTATTGGATGAGACTCAATGTACATTTAATCCCAATCGTTATCATATGCTTTATGTCGGGAGTAAAGAGGCCTTTCTTTACAAACGAAACGCGTTCACGCGAGCTAAAGAGGTGAGATTATTGATTCACTTTTTTATTGTTAATCTTCATTTGTATAAAAAGCATTATTATTATTATTATTATTATTATTATTATTATTACTATCTGTATTATTAAGAGAATAAGCAAAATTTTGTGGCCAGTGTATTTATATGAGAAAATGGGTTTTTATGGGTAAATTTGGTATCGTTAGATACATAATTAAGAAATGACCTTGCATCTCGTGAACTATTGACATTTTTGAAGATATAAGCTCATCCCAATGTTTCACTCATCAAGACCTTTCATTTGAGTACCCACATAAATTTTTCATATGTTTTATATATTTATATATATTACATATATGTATATATGAAAAATATATCAAAAATGCATGTGAGTACTCAAATGAAAGCTCTTGATGAGTGTAACATCGGGATGAGCTTATATCTTTACAAACGTCAATATTTGAGAAAATACAATTCATTTTAACAAAAGTCATTATTTAATAAAGCAAAATTTTATTTATTTATAATTTACAAGTCATGGCAGTCACACAGTGACTGCAAGATTGCTAGTTATTATTATTATTATTATTTGCAATTAAAAAAAAAAATAACATCATTAAATATCTTATTTCAGTCTCATTTAACCGTGACAAAGAATCTAAACAACAAATTTCACGGATGGCTGCAGAAGTGGGTGTCGAAAAACGTCGGAGACGGACAGCATCAGTCGTGTATTGACTGGATGATGGGTCGATATGAAAATTTAATTCCCCACAGAACACGAGTGATTGTTGATAATGATCAGAGTCGATCTCCATATCGGCCTTACAACCGATATAGAGTTGAGCGATTGAACTCTGAAACGTCTGCGTCGGAACAAACGACATAGTTTTACGGAAATTAGTTTCTTTGTTCGCTCTGGTGACAATGAAACAGCAGCAGATTGTTTTAAGATGAACACAAACACTACTGTGACTATATCAGTGTCTGGTACAATCTAGTACACAGGTGCGTGTGTGTGCAAACATTCTCCTTCCGAAGATCTTGTTGGTCATTTACTTCTCATCAGTGTGATATCAAGAGTAAGATATGATTTATGAAACTGTAGAGACGTTGTAAAAGGCCTTGACTGATAAATATGTCCCCTGATTATTATTTACAACATCTCGAAAAGCAATACAGATGGAATTTCAAAAATGTAGTTGATTAATTAATTAAGTAATTAATAATAAAATTATTTATCTATACTTTCCTTTAAATGATAATAGGTAAATAAAATAATGTATAAGTCTAGTAATAACAATAACTTATATCTCTTAAACATTTTTTTAATGTTATTAAGGTCTTAAATGCTCAATTTATGTAAATGACAAAATATTTCCGATTTTATTATCATACTAATTAATTTTTTTGTCATTTATCTGCATTCCACTGTAGTAAATTTTTTTTCTTTTTAATATTATATATATATATATTTTTTTTTTTTTTTTTATTATTAAAAGTGATTTTGTTTTTTTAATTTTAAATTATCACAATTCGGAAGCCAAATTATCTCGTTATTAAAAAATTAAAAGAGTAATAAGCATAAGGTTGGTTTATTTTTTTATTAATGGACCATCTAATTGTTAAATGAGGACAATCACCTCTTTGAAGTACTCAGTACAAGATGTCATGGCCTTAATAGAAAATTAAAACTTATCAATCGAAATAATGTACAAAATATTCATCTATTTATAATTAAATTAAATAAATAGAAATATATATATTTATTAGTATAATTTTATAAAATATATATTTCTATTTATTTTTAATAATATTAACTAATAAATAAAAATTGATCTAGATTATTTTAAATGTATATCGTATATAATATATATCTATGAATTTTTGAATTTGATATAATATATAACTTTAAAATAGATTTACAAGCGATAAGCATTTTCATTTTTCAGTAGTATTAATATAATATTTATATTAAGAATAATCTGGAATTGTTGAAAAAAAATATTTATAAATATATTGCGTTTCTTAACGAGGATTTGGAAATACTATTAAACAATTTTTTTTATAAGTATTGATTTTTTTGTGACAATTCTAAAGTATTTTGACTTTTATGTATTTTTTTTAATCTTTATCCTCGTTTATGTGTAATAAAAAGACTTGATGTCAACTTCTTGAAGTGTAATAATAAAAAAAAAAATTAATTAGAAAAGTAATTTTGTTAAAACTATTGATATGTTATTTTTTTTACCTTAATTTTTTGGAAAGTGTGACAATTTTATTGTTATTTTAATATTAATGATGAGTAATAAATATGTTGACAAGCGCTAATGTACGCACACACGCGCACAATATAATTAATTATTAATTTTAAATAATTGTTAATTGTACAATAATTTATATTGTACAAACAATATTAGTATAGTCATAAATATAAATACAGTATAATAAATATGTAGTACGAGTGTAATATAATTATCTGTTGAGTTACATGTGCTATTAAATAATACTAATTAATGTACTATTATTATAATTGTAAGGAAGCATTTTTTACTGTATAGTACAATATTAACAACTAATTTATCAAATGATTACCTTGTTACATTTTTAATCTGGCAATTAAAGTATTGAGAATAAATAATAATTATTCTTAAAAATTCTGCGATATTTATAAATCATTTGATAAATTTGTTTTATAGTTTTTACCGGAAAAAAAAAAAAAAAAAAAAAAAAAAAAAATTTAAAAAAAAAATTTAAAAAAAAATAAATCAAGTATAATATTTCTTATGTAAAGATGTAAAAAATTAAAGCAAAAGGATCTCGTATTTTGTACAGTTACATGATTACGAATGGGAAATGAGATTTTATATTATATACACATTTATATATAAATGTATAAATATTAATATAAGTATATAAATATATATAAAGACAGAATTACCAAGTAACTTGCAATTTTGAGCTCGTATGCTTGATTATTTATAATATAAATGAATATCTTTGAATATATATTTTAATATATATAAAATACAAATATAAAGTATCTTTTAAATTAATAAAAAGGGCCTCTAAGTGTTAGTGTATAAAAAAAAAACAAACCATGTAGCTCTTAGATAACAAAAAGTAATTTAATCTTGAAATATATTTTGCACAATCAATTATTTAAATAAATCATAAATATTAAACGAAAAAATTTATTTTTATTACATTATATATTTATTAAAAAATTTCTAGTATAGAAAAATTTTTTCAATAAACTATTTAAAAACAAGAGTTTATTTTTTTAAACAAAACTTTTAATATTTCTTCCTTTATAATTATAATTAAAAAAAAAAATTACTCAAGTTAAAATTTATTTCAGCCCTGATAGCCACCTTACCTATAACTTACTGTCAATCTACGTCCGCAATTTGAAGCAAACTTGACGGAAAGAGTTGGCAAAGCGAGCGATTACCTATTAGTTACCTATAACTTACTCTCCAAATAGACGTCAAAACTTGCTGTACAAGTATTTCCGTCAAATTGTAGTAAAGTTGAAAGGAAATTTAACTACAAGTTTGATTGCTAACTTGTATTCAAGTTGCGGCCATAGATTTCCGTCAATTTGCTTACAACTGTTGTTAAGTGAAGAATTACCGCCAACTTGATGTATAAATTAACCGTAACTGCTGGAAGTCAACGCTTACTGAGAAAGCGCTGGCTATCAGGGTAGCGTCACACTACAAACTTTAATGCCGACTATCAGTAATTAATTTGACCGACAGAGTTCGCTTTCAGCGCAAAAAAAAATCATTTCCGAGTCTTGCATCATGAACTTGATGGTGTACTCTCAGCCATTGTGCTAAATACCCCGAGCACACGGGTCATATTTCGTGTTTAATTTAACTTGAGTTATTATCTCGCACGTAAATTACAATAATTCGTACAGATCGCGGGCATTAAATAGTGTATTTACTTGTCAATTTTATAAATTTTATTACTCACATATTTTTTTAGAGTTCAGTACCCCTTTGTTAATTTTACATCCGTATTGATGGTACGCTGAGTTAGTTGTAATAAAACGAAAGATTTTCTAACGTGTATTCGTAAATTAACCTGTCATACGTTCGTGATTGTTCGCGATCGAAGCTCTTGTATATTCTTAACAAGGCCATTCAAGGGAATTCATCATATCACAAATAACAGCAAACCAGTTGCTACTGTAATAATATATCAGCGTATGTACTCTACTTACATTTAATTACTTCCTTTTTTGAGCCTCAAAATTTTTACTCCAGTCTAAAAATGTCATTGTATTTTATTTAGGTGAAATATATTAATATCAGCATGGCCGATGAAATTATGGACCTAGACATGGATGTTAACGACGAGATAGTAATCTCCGACTCTGAAGACAGCCCTGTAAATACAGCTGAAGAGTGAGTATTTTTTTTTCTATCTACTTCTACTATTGTCATTACTTTACGCACTATACATGAATTTTGCCCACGTATTTAATCACGCCAACGTGACTCCGTAGTTTGTGTTTGTAAAATTTACATACATGCCAAATAAACCTCATTACAAGCTTGTAATTTTTTTTTTAAATATTTATTTCAGCCTTCTGAAGATAAACTTAAGTACAAGCGATTTTTTATGATTATTTCACAATTTTATAAATTCAAGGACTTGATTTTTTATTTATTAATTCATTGATGATAAATTATAATGATAAATAATATTGATGTAATTATTTATAAATTACAGACTGGCTGAGATTCAAATGGAAGAAGCCAAAAAGTACTATACAGACAAGCAATACAAATCAGCACTCGCGTCTTATTCAAAAGCTATAGGTAATATATTGACATCAAGTTGTCTTGATAATTAAATGCAATGCTTCGTACAAGTATATTGATTATTATTTTTTATTCAATTGTGTTTCACAGAGTACTGTCCCAATGTAGCCAAGTATTATGGTAACCGGGCAGCATGCTATATGATGCTTGAGTTGTATCGCGAAGCTTTGGTTGATTCGAGGAAAAGTATCGAGATTGACCCGACTTTTGTTAAGGTAATTAAATTATAAAAATATTTGGTTAATTATTTACAAGTGGGGTCAACCCCATTTTGGGCCTTAACTAGGTAAAAATTAATACTTTTTAATTTTTTTTATTCTGCTTGTTTTTACGGAGCATTTATGATAAAAAATGTCGTGAAAAAAAAAAATAAAGATTTGGATAGCTTTATTGCATTTAAAAGTTGGAAAAAATTTTGGCTCATGTTTTTGGATAAAATTTCTATTTTATCTTTTTTTGATTTATTTTTTTTGAAAAGTACATAAAGAAACGAACAATTTAAAAAAAAAAAAAAATTAAATATCACAATTTTCTAAAAAATTTATAAATCATTTTGAAAATTTGTTAAAATTGTGATAATTTTTTTTTTTTTAATTGTTTATTTTAGGCGCGCAGTAGCCTATCGGATCCGGCCCTTGCTACCAAAGCATTGGACCGGGTTCTCAAATCCGGCGTACACCAATGAATATTTTCAATATTTAAGTGTATTATTCTGCTCAGCCCAAGAAATACAAACGAGTTCCAATCTCAAAAGTTTACCCCCTACCGTAGTCGCTCATGACCTTAGTAGTTTGTGCGACTTTAAGGTAGTACTACCGGTTTTAGAATTGACGTTCAGAATTTAATTAAATTAAGCATATTGGTACTTTACAATATCATAATTAAGCATTAAAATTTTTGGAACCTGAGCAAGTCCTGAAAAAAAAAATATTAATATCTACATATTTTTGCTTTTACCATTGATCCTTATGGAGAATCACAGACTTTATTTTATTTCACAAAACTGGACGTTCAGATTCTTATAAAAATCAAGGCAACGAGAGAAAATAACATCTAGAACATATTTAATAATAATCAGTATGGTTTCCAAGAATATGAGAGTGTTTATTAATAAAAAACATTCAAAATTTATCTCTGTCTCTTTCTCCAACGTGATTTGGTATAGGGAAATCTACTACGTTAATCAAATAAAGTTAGGTTTTATGATTTGATTCTTGTGGTAACGGTAGTACTACCTTAAACAAATTAAAAAAAAAAAAAAAAAAATTGTTTATTCTATTTATGTATTTTTAAAAAATGTATTTATAATAAAATCAAATAGAAATTTCGTTCAAAAAAATAAAAATTAAAGTAGTAAATATTTACCAAATTTTATTTATTAAAAATTATTTAAAAATTTTAGGGGTATACAAGAACTATAAGGTGTTGCTTGAAAATGGGGGAGATAGTTGAAGCAGAAACCTTATTAAATAAATTAAACACAATAGACCCAACAGCTGCTAAATCAACTATTACAGAATCCCAGGAAATAAGTTATGTCCAGCGTTTTCTTAAGGAAGCTAACGTTGCACTTGAGTCCAAGGATTATCGTAAAGTAAGTTCATAAGTCTTTCAATTAATAAAATAAATTTTTGATAACCTTTTGAGTCATTATAATTGTTAGATTATCATATTGTCAACAATAATAAATTTTTAATTAATTTCTAGGTTGTATACTGCATGGATCGTTGCTGCGATGTAAGTAGATATTGCCCGCGATTCAAGCTGATGAAAGCTGAAAGTTTGACTCACTTGGAAAGGTATCAGGAAGCTCAAGAAATAGCAAAGTAAGTATTTATTTCAGTACTTTAAATTCTATTATTATACTTTTTTATCGCTCCCAGATTTAGTTCTATGAATTAATAATTAAACTCGAGCTTCAGTTCTTCTCAATTTCTAGTTAACTAATCGATTTTAAAATATTTTTGTTACAGTGACATTTTACATTTAGACCGGTCAAATGTCGACGCTACTTATGTACGTGGTGTGTGTTTGTATTATCAGGACAATGTTGATCGAGCATTTGCACACTTTCAAGAAGTACTTAGGCTTGCTCCTGACTACGTAAAAGCTCTGGAGATGTATAAGGTACTTAAAAAAAAATATATATTTATTTTCTTACTGATTGTAAAGTAAAAGACCCAATTATTGACACTGGCCTAGCTGTTTGACACTTTCAATTTTATTCTAATAAAAAAAAAAAAAAATATGTTTTCAAAAAATCAATTATCTTAAAATTTATACTTCAAAAATTGTATTTATTAATTTATTAGTAAGTTTTTTTTTTTTTTTTTTTTTTTTTTTTTTAATTATAATAAAATTGCAAGTGTCAATAACTGGGTCTTTTACCTTATATATTAAAGATAGGATATAAATATGTTAATTAATTGTATTATTTTATTACAATTCAGAAAGCAAAGTTATTGAAGCAAAAGAAAGAAGATGGTAATGTCGCCTTCAAAGCAGGACGGTACCAAGAAGCGTATAATCTTTACAGCGAAGCATTGACAATTGATCCGCAAAATAAAATGAACAACACTAAATTACATTACAATCGTGCGCTGACTGCTTCTAAGTTAGGAAGATTAAATGAAGCGATAACGGAATGTACCGAGGCACTTAAACTTGACGACAATTATTTGAAAGCTTTGTTGAAGCGTGGAGCCTGTTATATGGAGCTTCAGGAGTATGAAGATGCCGTACGCGATTACGAAAAGGCGTGTAAGATAAATAAATCTCGTGATAACCGACGCCTGCTTCTTGAAGCTAAAGAAGCACTTAAGCGATCCAAGAAAAAAGATTACTACAAGATCCTGGGTGTTGAAAGAACAGCTTCCACTGAGGACATCAAGAAAGCCTACAGAAAAAGAGCCCTGGTTCATCATCCAGGTATCCATTTATTCATTTTTTGTTTATAACCAAAAATAATTTTTTTTTTTTATCACTTAATTTTTTAATTAATAAATTTCAGATCGGCATTCAAATGCTTCGGAGCCTGAGAAGAAAGAACAAGAGAAGAAATTTAAGGAAATCGGCGAGGCTTACACCATTCTTTCTGACCCGAAAAAACGCTCCAGATACGACAGAGGAGGTGACATAGATGAGATGGAGACTGGTTTTGATCGTAAGTACTGTTCAGTTTACTCAACAATTTATTTATTTACCCAAATAAATAAACTGTTGAGTGACGCATTGATTTAATTAAATTGATACTTTCATTATTGCAGTTTCTAACTTTGGCACTGACTCAGCGTTTGCGGCCTTCTTCTCAAAGCCTGACACCGGTGGATTCCACTTCCAGTTTGCTGGATACAACGACAACTCTCCATTTTGATGCCCAAAATCACGAGCCCGAAGTTTTGAATTATAAAAAAATATTACATTTAGTTACCGACATAATAGTTATGAATCCAACTAAAAACACACGGTTTATTATTTTAAGACAACACATCAGCTTGTGTGTTTGACTGTTTTACTTTAATTAATGATGATAGCAGTAATAATATTAATGATAATAATAATAATAATAATCATAATAATATCAATAATAATACTGAATTAATAAAAATAAAAACTCATCATTATACAGTATAAAAAGTTTAAAGACACAATAAAACATGATATACTGTTCAAAATATCCAATAAAATGACAACTTGTGTTCTCTTAGAATACGTGTAGTATTAATTATAAGAAAATTGATAAAAAAAAAAAGAAAAAAATTCAAAAAAAAATTAGAGGGTAATCCTGCCGTTAATTGCGTTCTATTTGATATTAATAAAAAATACCAAATTATTTATTCGATAATCAAATCACAAATAATTAACTACAGCTATTTAAATTTAATTAAAAAAAAAAAAAAATAATTAACTGTATCCATTTCTACGTAAGCCCGTTGTATGTTTTTATTTATTTTTTGAAGCATTTTTTGAATTGGAAATTACATTTAATAGTGACTATATTTAAGAATGAAAGAAAAATTGAAAAACGATCGTTTACATTCGTTATAAATATTTTTAATTGTATTGTATTTTTTTACAAAAGAATGAAATTTTTAGTCACTTATAATTTATTAGATAAAATGTTTTTTTATAAAAAATAAAATATTGAATTAGGTAATGTATATATATTTGCTTGTAATTCACGGTTAATTAAAAATGTCAGCGAATTGTTAAATAGAAATCATAATAACGTCAAAGCTTACTGTCATGCTGATACACCCCGACTATTTTCTGACCGTAAATAAATGTGCATAATCGATGAGTCCAAATGTAATAATTAATAAGTAATAATAATAATAATAATAACATGGATGAATCTTAAAAAAAAAATTGTTCAAATCCTCTGTAGAAGTGAGCGAGGGATTACTTATAGGAAAACGATAAAATTTTTATACATTACCTGCTAGAAAAACTAAGAAGATTGTTTCTTCTTTAATGGAAATAAAACCTAATAAACATTATGTATTATTATTAATTTCCAATAAATTAAACTTAGTTTAACATTGTTATTTTATTTCATTTCTTAATAATTAATTAATTAATTTTTTTATTGCCATTAAAAAAATAAAATTTGTCATTTATTTAAAAAAAAAAGAATTATAACTAATTTAGGAGAGATTTAATAATTTTTTAACAAATAAATTATAAAAAAAAAATTTTTTTTCTTAATTAAAAATGCAATTTTTTAAAAATAATTTTTTTATTAATTAAAATAAAAAAATAGTCAAGTGACGGCTAACTTTAATGTCATAAAAAATAATTTAAAATTCAATTGACCTGTATTTCATTAAAAATAAATCATATTACTTACGATAAACGTAAATAAACGGACTGCCATTGACTAAAACATTTTCATTATTACATTATACCTAATATGCACAGAACATCATTAATATATATATATACAGGGAAGATACCTATACTCTCTCTACATTCTATGAGAAAATAAAAAAAGGTCATAAAAATATTTAAAATTCAATTGACCTGTATTTCATTAAAAATAAATCATATTACTTACGATAAACGTAAATAAACGGACTGCCATTGACTAAAACATTTTCATTATTACATTATACCTAATATGCACAGAACATCATTAATATATATATATACAGGGAAGATACCTATACTCTCTCTACATTCTATGAGAAAATAAAAAAAGGTAGGTTAAGTTACCTTACACTTAGCATTGTAACAAGTTTAGGGTTCAGTTAGTAGTATCTTCAATAATGCTTTGAATAATATATAATTGAAGTGAATTCCTAAAAACTAAATTTATATCAAAATAAAAATGTCAATAAAATTTTATTTATGATAAGTGTTTAAATATTTGAATCAAACAAATAAATTTTAAGAGTTAAAAAATAACATGTTTGTGTATCACAATGTCGAGGTTTTATAAATAACATATTGACAGTTATTTAAAAAATTTTATTTATAACTTAGATAAATTAAAATTTCTAAAATATTTTTTAAAGCATTTGCTAGTTAAGTTAAAACTTTTTGATTAAAGTTTATTAAATTTTTAACGGTAAATAAAATAAAACAATTGATAGGTTATTACCAAATATGAGTCGTAACATAAAAAGGACCCCGTTTTCGATATTCACCCAAAAACCTAATAAAAGAAAACGAAAAGCCGATGAGGTAATTATTATAATTATTTTTATTTTAATAGTTTAAATTTATTAAAATTATATGACACTGAAGTTGAGAGGCATGATAATTTTAACAAATTTATCAACAAATAAGCATGAAAAATTTTATCTTGAGCAGCTCTATAAAATTATGATACTGAATTAATTAAACATGTAATGATTTTTTAGATTTTTATAAAAATTAAAATATATTGAAAAAAATTTAGCTAAAAAATTCCACATGTAGAAATTAAAAAAAATATGACATCCAAGCTATCATTCACTTAACAATTTTTTAATTTTATTTATCAACAAAATTTGTTCCGAAAAATTATTTTGAAAAATTGCATTTTTTATTTTTTAAAATTTCTACATGTCTATTTTTTTTCTAATTTTTTTATGCTATAATTTATTTGCATTTGTTATGTAAACAAATTTTTCTTTACATATTTATTAATTATAAAAAATCGTAATTAGTCTGAGGGCCCAGGTATTTTAAAGAGATTAAATAGATAAATGGGAGTTTTGTTATACGTAAGCAAACTCACTTATACTTAAAATAAGAAATATTTAAGTAATGGTAAAGAACATAAGATAAAAGATTTATTTTAAATCGAAAGATTTTAGAATAACTTAATGACAGAATTTTAGTGTTGAAAAAAATATCGAAATAAATTTTAATAATGAACTTTCTGAAATAATTTTTAGACAACAAAATTGAATATGAAATGAAAAACAAATAAAAAAAAATAGAACTTGAAAGTTAAATAATTAAAAATAAACAAATATTAAACAATTAAATTCTAAAATAATACAACAAATTTATAAAACGACAAAACAGAAATATTTCTACAAATAAATAATTTAAATTCAAGAAAACGTAAGAGATGCTAAATTCAAGTACATATTTATTCATACGATTTTAATAAATAAATTAATGTAGACAGTACAAATGTATGTCTTTGTCTATGCGTAAATGCGCTTACGTATACACAAACACATAGATGAATAATAGAACATAAGAGTAAGTGAGAAAGTATGTTGCACTCAGATCAGACCCAAGTAGAGGGACTCATGCAACATTTTTAGACAAATTTAAGAGAGAGAGTAAGGGCCCGAGAAAATAGACAAATAATTGGACATTTGTTTCCCCCAATGAGTGGAAATTAGTAACGCCCTAAAATTCGACACCTTGCAATTGTCACCAAAAAATCTCTCTCGTTGTCCTGACGTCCTAGTGTTAATATCGTACATAGTTTAAATAAGTCTCAATAGACCACGTGTAAATCTATTGTATAAAAAGTAAAACATTTGTAAAGGTAAAGTGAAACCAACTAAAATAAATTAAATCAACAAGGTTCATAAATTTTTTATCAGGTATATTTTAAATTATTAATATTTGTGAATTTGGTAATATTGTAAAATCGTTATATGAAAGAAAAGTTAACTTCAATCACTGTATAATAATTGTAACTATTGTAAATTAACTAATGATATTAATTTTGGATTTAAACAATATATGTATTAAAATTATTCAACTACATCAATTTATTCAAACAAACCTATCATCTTTCTCAATAAATTAAAACTCGGAAGTTCCCGGTCTATTAGCCTAACACGCTAGGACCAAATACTTAAACACATTAAATATTTTAAATGTAAAATTAATTAATTACCCTAAATTAATATTTTTTACATAACACATTATATATTAAATATATGCTAAATTAATTTACATAAAAAAATTATAAGTGTAAATTTTTATATTTTTTTTTTATAATAATTAATTTATCATAAAATTTCTAAAAATTATCAGAAGTCTGCTAATTTCAGTATCATAAAAAATTATAAATATTATAAATAATTTTCTAACTTATTTTTTGATAAAAATAAAAAAATTATAAAATGTATTTTAATTTAAATCTTATAATTATTAATAATATAATAACTCGTAAATTTTTTTCAAGGATATTTTCATGTGCGATGAAGTAATAGTTCTTGACGACGACGATGATGATGATCCAGTGATAATAACTGAGAGCATAAACAAAAAAACTCCCAACGAAGTACCTAAGCCCTCGAACACTTCTTACAGCAATAGCAGTGCGAGTCACAAGAAACCTAGCAATGGTGGTTATTTTAATTACAATTTCACCAATACCACTCGGGACAGAGGAACTGCGAGTAGTATGTCCAGATCTTCAAGCAGTCCTTTCAACTATGGAGCCACCAATAACAATAAAAGCTTCGAGCATTATTACAACTTGAAATTGAACGGCTATAAGTCAAGCTCCAGTGCGACTAAACCAATCCCGAGTTTCTACAACTTTACTAACAAATTTAATTTCGACGGATATTATACCTTCAACCATAACAGCAGTAACAGTAGTAGTTTAAATAATAATAATAATAATAATAACAACAATAGTAATAGTAATAGTAAACAAACAGATTATGGAGACGATATGCCTACCATAGACCTGAATGATGATGACGACGAGGTAGATTTAGATGGTATAGAGATTGATGAAAATTTCATCAACGAGATGGATGGCTTGTTCAATTTTGATAGCAGGAGTTCCAAGTCCACGGAAAAAAACCTTTATAGCAATTCAGGCAATGAGCCTGATTTCAATGGTTTTCATTTGATAAATGTTGAGAATGACAGTAAAGAAACTCGCGAGGTTCCCGAGTCTCCTGAGAAGTCCAACGAAAGCGACAATAAAATAACTATTAAAAGCGTTAATGAGATTAATGAGTTTTCGGACTTGACTGTACAAACAAGCGACTGTGGTGCTACTGATTTAAGCACTAAACAGGGTCTCAATGACAATAATAATACCGAAAATAGTACTGATAGTTTTGTTAGTAAAAATGATAATCAAAATAATAAAGCTGGCAGTAACAGCAGCGATAAAGCTGATAATAATGTTAAAAAAAGTAATGAAACTACCACGAAATCTTCATCGAAGATACCTCATCATATGTAAGTATTTTTTATATTTCTCATAAGGATTTAATACTTACTAGCAACCTTGCAGTCATTACGTGACTGCCGTGACTTGTAAACTATGAATAAATAAAATTTTTCATTAAATAATGATTTTTGTTAAATTGCACTGTACTTTCTTAACTATTGACGTTTTTAAAGCTATAAGCTCATCCCGATGTTACACTCATCAAGAGCTTTCATTTGAGTACCCACATGCATTTTTGATATATTTTTCATATATACATATATGTAATATATATAAATATATGAAAAATTGATGTGGGTACTCAAATGAAAGGTCTCGATGAGTGGAATATCGGGATGAGCTTATATCTTCAAAAATGTCAATAGTTCACAAGATACAAAGTCATTTCTTGATTATGTATCTAGAAATAGAGCATTTTCGAATGCAGCCTAAATACTTATCATCATAAATTAACTGGCACAAAATTTTTCTTACTTTTTTAATAATTTAGATTATTTGTAATTTTATCTTTAGAATATCAAAGAAAAAGAAGCAAGCTGACTATTTATATCAACTTAGAAAGTATGAACCTGCGTTAGCAGAATATACTAAACTTATTGGTAAGTTCTATTGGTTGATTTTTTATTATTAATATTCATTGAGTATGGAAATTATTAATGAATATTTTTTTTTTTTCAATACAGAATACTGCCCGAAAAATCCAACGTGTCATAGTAATCGAGCAGCATGTTACATGATGTTGTCTCGGTTTGAGCTGGCTTTAGTTGATGCTAAATCATCGGTATCTCTTGATCCACAATTTACTAAGGTATTAATACTTTTTAATTACCTAGAATAATTTAATGATTGTACTGATAGTTTATGAGAGATTGATAATAATATAAAACAGTAATGTTAATGCTATTGAGTCTTACTAAGAAGAAAATAAAATACTATTTAATTATTGAATATAAATAAATTTGCGAATAAAATTGATAGTTTAATCGATTTATTACTTAAAGGGATATGTACGCCTAGCCAAGTGTGCAATCATGGTTGGAAATTTAATAGAGGCTAAAACTGCGTTGACTAAATTGAAAGAATTGGATCCTACGAATACAGTTGTTTTGACTGAGCAAAAGAAGTTCGATCAACTGTCGGAGTTTTTAAAAAAAGCTGAAGATGCTTACAAGAGAAAGAATTACAGTGAGGTATACATATTTTTTTTTTTAATACAATTAAAAAAATTTTTATACTGAGTATTAACTAATTTAATTTTTCAGGCATTAGTAAATATACAAAAATGCTCGGAGATTAGTCCACACTGCACTGATTTTAAACTGAAGAAAGGAGATTATTTAATATTTTTAGAAAAGTTCAATGAAGCTGAAGCTGTAGCCAAGTAAGTAATTTTTTTTTTATTTAGTTCATTAACATAAAATGGAGTTTTTAATAATTATTTTTATTTGTTATAGTGAAATACTGCTTTCGGATAGATTGAACATAGAAGCCAAATACATAAATGCGTATTGTTTGTATCAGAAAAATGCCGATTTAGGAATAGAAAAATTTAGGGAAATTCTTCGCTTAGTACCTGATCATCCACAAGCTCAAAAAATTTACAAACACGCTAAGAAGGTTAATAGTAAGAAGAAAGATGGAAATTTAGCTTTCAATAATAAGCTTTACTTTGCTGCTCATACTATTTATTCCGAGGCGATAGCTATGAACCCTTTGAGCCGTGAAGTTAGGATGCATTTATATAATAATTTATCCCAGTCGTCGTATAGGGTAATTATTCCTTTGATTTTTAAAAAGTCTTTCGTAATAATAATTTTATTAAATCAAAGATAGTTAATATTATAAGCCAGACTAGCCGATCCAAATTGTTGAATAATGACTTAATATTTTATCACTCACCATAATATTTTATCGGTATGAGTTCTCATACCATCAGAGAAAATTTAGGTGAAAATAACAATTAAAATTTGTTTTGACAATTATTATTAGAGAAAGATGTAATTTTTTACTCAGTGTAACTTTTTTCTATCTTTTTAACTATCTTAATAATAATAATTATTATTATTATTTTTAATTATTACAGTTACGTCAAATTGATAGAGCAATCAATGAAGCTACGCAAGCTTTAAGTATTGATCCAAATTACATTAAAGCGTTAATGAGAAGAGCACAGTGTTATATCGAGAAAAGAGAATATGATGATGCTGTGTACGATTTAACAAAAGCGAATTCTCTAGACAGTAGTATGGGTAATTATTATGATTTTTATATTTAAAAAAAAATTTTGAAACAATTTTTTATTAATACATAAAATAATTGAATTATTAATTTTTACAGAATGTCGTTGTATGTTAGAATTGGCTAAAAGATTTTTAGCAGCAACCGAACAAGATTATTACGGAATTCTTGGCATCCCGAGAAATGCCAGCATAGAAGAAATTAAAAAGGCCTACAGGCAGTTGGCACGTCAATATCATCCAGGTAATTTTTTATTAAATACAACACACTAATCATACAACAAGTTACTTTCTTATTAATCATTTCTTTTTATCTTCTATTGTTATTAAATTTCAGATCGGCATGCCACTGCATCACCCGAACAAAGAGCTAAGAGTGAAAGAAAATTTCAAAAAATAACTCAAGCTTTCCGACAACTACAAGCAAAATACGGGTTTTCATAGGAAAATAATTATTTATTTATTTAGGACTTTTTTTACAATTATTTATAAATATTTGTAACTTCTCTAATAAATTTTTGGTGTAAAAATTCAAGTTTAATACGTTAAGACGTGTTTAAACTTGATAGCTATTATATATTTTTTTATCATATAAAAGTATTAATAAAATAATAAGACATTCACTCACGTCTTTCTTACATGTTTTAAAATTAGATGTAAGATGTATAATTTATGATTCAGTATTGTATTCTATCATAGAATTTCTGTGTAAGAGTATTCTGAGCTTATACTCCTGGATATACTTTGCTAATTAAAACTTGCATTTTAATAGCGCATTGTAAAAAAGTTGTTTAAATATAAAATTAAAAGTTTTTTAAAAATTGTTTATATTTATTTCCAACAGTACAAAAATTATAATTTTTTTTTTTATTAAATTTCAAATATTATTATTATTATTATTATTTATTGTTTAATGATTGTAAAGTCGAAGCTTATTACAGTTATCCAAAAAAAAAAAATATTAAATATTTATTATATAGTTTTTCTTTATTTGAAAATTAATAAACTATTTGATTTTCGCAAGTTGTATTTTTTTTTTTTTATTGAGCTCTAAGAATAAATTCCAAGAATGCAAGTCAATAATCAATATTATATATACACAAGTCGTAAGTATGTAAGCAATCATCCCAAACAAAGTATCAAATTTAATACCTTAATATCTATCCTTCAATGTATACATATGAAATTAAAATTAGACATCTTATAATTTTAAAAAATACTAAAAAAAAAAAAGCATTTATAGTTTTTAGAAATTTCTTCATGAAGAATTTTTTTTTTATAATAATTTATTTGTTAAAAATAATCCTAAAAATGGTCAAATGTTTGTTAATTTAATTTTTTTGATTTACAGATAAATATTTTACTTACAAATTACGGATTTAATTATACGGATATATCTTATAATTTTTAAGATTTTTATAACAATTAAATTACTATAAAAAAAATTTAGTAAAAGAATTCCACATGAAGAAATAAAAAAAAAAATTGTAAATGCAAACTTTAAAAGGTATTTTTTTTTTTTTAAATTATTATTATTATAATTGACTTGATCCAAAAATTAGAAGACAATTAGCAATTTTTTATTTTTTTTTTATTAATTATTAATTACATAGACAAAAAAAAAAAAAATATTAAAAAAATTATCACTTGTAGTAGTCCATTTCTTTAGTTTTATAATTTATTCAAGTTATAACTATACTCTTTACAATATTCGAATAAAGTTGATTAAATCTCACAAAAAATAATCAATCCCGTAGAATATAGTTATCAGTAAATGATACAATAGATAGTTCGTGTATAAATAATAATGTCAAGATAGTACTTCGCGATTACAATGATACGATAAGTAAAATAAAGGAAAATAGGACCAGTGTCCTAGACCGTAGATGTGTGTATCTCAGAGGCTGAAGAAAATCTGCCTCATGCCCCTTGACTCTTGAGGGTGTTAGCCTTTGCTAACACTCAGCGTTGTTCTTGGGGTTCCTTGACGTCATGAGCCCCTTGAATGTCGGGGAAGGGATTTTATGGCCCAGAGAGTACAGTGGTTGACGAAAAATTTTCGAGAGTGGAAAAATACTCCCACACACTTGTAAATAATTTTTCATATTTTTCTGATGTGAAATTAAAAAAAATTTTTATGTCAATAATTTTTTCAATAAAGAAAAATTCTAAAAATTTCAAGATGTCTGCTGATTTGAGAGTCTCGCCACATATATTATAGCTATTGGAAGAACATAACGTTAAAATAGAAGAGTAGGGGGTTCCCTGAAAGACTATCGTCAACTATTGTCGTCAGTTTTCAGCAGATCGCATTTCGTGCCGGTAGATGCGGCAAGTTCGGACTTGAAATTATTGCGTGTTACATATCATCGAGCCGAGTGTGATTGTTTTGTTATGTGTCGTGTGCTGGTGGTTTAGTATAAAAGATTGTTATGTATTATGAGATTAACCGAGTCTAGAACAAACGACAGTTGATTTTTTATCGTCCATTATACCTATTTCATAAGTATACATACAAGTACATATTTATTTAAATTAATATATTTCATGCTTAATATGTATTAATACCTTTTGATAATTACTGATTAGTTTTGTGTCAGATATTAATATAAATATTTAATAAAAAGCCGAAATTAATTTTAAAATTAATATTGTAAATTTTAGATATGTTCGGAAGTTTCTTTGGTGGATTTGGACACAGGTGTTTCGACCAAGATGAATTTGAGGATTATATCATCTCCCGGTACGGCGAATGTACATGTTCTCCAAGAAGAAAATTCAAGAAAACAAGAAACCGTCCGGCGAGTAATGGCGCAGGTGCCAGTGGAACTAACTCTCCAGCAGATTGTGAAGAAAAAGTCTTTTCAGCCACCGACAAGCATCAGCAGGAAAAAGAAGTGATGGTGTGCTTCAACTGCGGATTGCGTTGGCATAAAATGAATCGGTGTCCCGCTGAAGGTAAAGTTTGCTTGAAATGCGGTGAAAAGAACCATTTTGCTCGAGTTTGCAGAACTAATGGTGAAAAAACACCACTCGCCAGCGACGCTATGAAGAAAGACACTGCAACAAACAACCACCAAGGTATGAAGCCCAATAAAATGAAGGAGAATATCAAAGCAACTGATTCGCCGGTTAAAGCTGAGAAAAATAAAAAAGACCAGGCTACTTTTAATGTTTTAAAGGAAACTAATGTTAAGGTTCCAAAGAAAAATGATAATAATCATACTGATAATAATAATAGTAGTAGTAAGAGTAATAATAATAATGTTAGATCAACGCCTAAGGTTTCTAAAGCTGATCCGGTAACAAAAACAAAGCTGACAACTGAAAATGTACCTCTGAATGTGGAGACTAACGTGCCGTCACCGTCAGCAGCTATTGAAATTGAAGAAGAAAAAAAAGAAAGGTATAGAGAATTTAAAAATACAATGTTTTATTTTTATTTTTATAGTTATAGAATAATTAAATTTGTAATTTAGAGTAATGAAAGAGAAAAAGGACGAGGCTAATACATTATATAAACAAAAAAAGTACAAATTAGCTTTATCTCAATACACAAGACTTATTGGTAAGTTTTAATTCTATTGTAATAGTAATAATAATAATAATTGTTACTAGTAGTTTGTTTAATAACTTTGTTATCATAGAACTTTGTCCAACATCGGAATTGAACTATGGAAACCGAGCGGCTTGCTATATTATGATGGAACGGTATGAAGATGGTTTGGCTGATGCAAAGAAATCTGTTGAGTTGAACTCAACTTTTCTCAGAGTATGTACTTACGCTTTATTAATTTTTTTCTTGTTTTGTTTTTCTCTTCTTTCAAATACAGATGTTATTTATTGTATATAAGGTAAAAGACCCAGTTATTGACATTGAATTAGTTGTTAAACACTTGCAATTTTATTTCAATAAAAAAAAATAAAATGTTCTCAAAAAATTAATTATCTTAAAATTTATCATTCAAAAATTATATTTATTAATTTATTAGAGTTGATTTTTTTTTCTTTAATTAAAAAAATGGGTCTTTTACCTCAAACATTATTAAAAATTCTACTCTCAAAAATATAATACATTGTTGTAAATTGCCAAGAGCATTTCTTTACAAATTAATAAATAAATTTAAATAACGTTCAATTTTTTTAGGGACATGAAAGGGCAATCAGATGCTTAATTGAGCTGGGTAATATCACCGAAGCCGGTACTTGGGTGAAAAAACTTGAATCTATTGATGCAAAGAACGAGCGATTAAGTGTCGAAAAAGAAAAAATTAATAATACCACTCGATACTTGAATAAAATTGATAAGTTGTCTTCAGAAAAAAAATATGCTGAGGTATCTGTGATATAAATTATAATTATGGCTAGTTATAGATGATTTTATTATACTAATTATTTTTATAGGCTGTCAAGTACTTGGACAAATTAATAGCCGTAAGCTCGCAGTGTGTGAGTTATAAACTGAAAAAAGCTGAATTTTGGGTACATTTGGAAAAATATAAAGAAGCTGAACCACTAATCAAGTAAATTAATTTTTTTTAAATATATAAACATAGTAGTTTTTAATTAATTAATTGAATTTATTCATACATAGTGATGTCCTTAAGCACAATAAATCAAATCCTGATGCTGTGTATTTACTCGGCCGCTGTCTTTATTATTTGGATACTGAGAAATCTATTTCACAATTAAAGGAAGTTTTTCGCTTAGTACCCGATCATTCAGAAGGCTTAAAGTTATACAAGGTAATTAATTAAATTTATTTTTATAATTAAATTACCTAGCAGTATAATTAATTAATTGTTTATTTTTAACAGAACGCTAAAGCACTGATTGATAAAAAAAATGAAGGGAATAACGCTTTCATCCATAGGAAATACAATAAAGCGCACAAAATATATTCTGAGGCTTTGCGAATCGATCCGAGTAATCAGAGGATGATGATGAAGCTCTATTACAATCTAGCACAAGCTTCTTACAAGGTTTTTATTTATCAATTGTATTTAAATTAATCACACTTGCGGTTTTAGTATTTTATTCTTTTTTTTTTTGTTATCAGCTTGATGAAATTTCAAGATCTACTGAAGAATGTACCAAGGCTCTAACCATAGATCCAAATTATTATAGAGCTTTGTTACGTAGAGGACAGAATTACATGGAAAATGGCGATTATGAAGAAGCTGTCGCTGATTTTACTAAAGCGGTAATCACTGAATCGAGCTCTGGTAAATAATTTTATTTTTTATTGACAATTTTTTTTTTTTTTTTTCAAATTATTAAATTGATGTTTTCATATTTTAGAAGCGCGTAGATTATTGGATGAAGCCAAGAAATTACTCACTAAAGCTAAGAACGATTATCATGGAATATTAGGAGTTAAAAAAAACGCTTCCTTGGATGATATTAAAAAAGCTTATCATGAAAAAGCTAAACTACATCATCCCGGTAATTTTTTTTAAATGATTTATTGTTATTGTCAATAATTAATATTTAAATAAAATCTTAACTAAATATTTTTTTTTTCAAGATCGTCATTCGAGTGGTTCTCTTGAAGAAAAAGTTAACAATGAGAAGAAGTTCAAAGAAATTACTCGGGCTTATAGATCGCTTACTAATGGGTATGTTTATTTTATTATTATAATGTTTGAAGTAAAAATTTTTTTGTTTTAATAATATTATTATTACTATTATTTAAAAAAAAATAACTCAGAATAAAAATAATTGTGATAAGAATATTCTAGTTAATTTAAAAATAAAACAATTTTTTTTTTTTTCCAGTTCTATTCCTAAGAAATATAAGTCTGATAGTGATGCCGATGACGACGACGATGATGAACCTTGGGAGTGCCCTTTCGAAGAACATGTTATGAAATTTATGTTTGCACATATGAACAGAAAGAGATACCGTTTCTATTAATTTTTACGTTATCATTTTTTTTTGGTTTTAATTATCAGTTAAAGTTTTAAATATTGTTTAAATAAGAATTATTTTAAACTTACAAAGTACAGATTTTCATAAACATTTCTTAAATATCAGTTTAATTAAAATATGTAAGAAAAATAAGAAACCAAAATTAGGTAATAACAATAAATATAATGTTTATTACGTTTACATAACTGTAATTTTGGTGACAATAAAAATACTATAATACAACAGAGTGGTGATTCAAAATAATAATTATTGATTAAAAAATATATAATAAGAAATATAAAAGTTGTTCTACAAACAATTCGCGCATTTTAAATTCAATGATAAAAGTAATTACATAAATGTAATGTTATTAAAATCAAAATAAAGATTTTATACAAAAATTTAAATTCCATTATACATATATGTTTATTTCTTTTGATTGCACGTTTAAAATTTTAAAAGCTGAAATTCAACGATTATGATGACACTCGATTGTTTTAAATTCAATAATTTAGATTTTTACTTTTGAAATCTACTGGAAGCTAATACTCTTCATTTCGACATATTATTAATATAATATTACTTTGTTGTTTTGTTCTTTTTATAATGATACAACAGTCTTAATCCTATATTTCAATAATATGAATTAGATATCTAATCTTTGACACAACCGTTAATAATAATGAAGGAAAAATCTTTAATTATTTAATCAATCAATTTAATAATTTTTATTTAATAATCTATCACACATTTGATTATCAATTATCATAAATATTTGTTCGAACGAATAAGTTTGGTTGTGCGAGTTTTTTAACGTCAAAAAATTACTACCAACTATTAAATCGCTTAATAAAATAAACCTCAGCGACTTACTTTTGAAATAATTAAATAATTAAATTTTTCGAATATCAACAGTGCATTTTCATTTCTTATATTATAGTATACTCATTCAATATAATCACTCCTACCTTTCTTTTTTTTTTTTTTTTTTTTATAAAAATAAATATAGTTCGATCTATAAAACATTCAATAAAGTCTTTCTTTCGCTTTACTTTATTTTCATAAGTCGAGATAAATTTTTTTTAAAGACCAACACCATATATTTATTCCATTCCTATAAATAGACTGTATTAACATTCAAGATAAAGAACAATATTCATAAACAATAACATTTATCACCAATTGATTCAATTCTACCCACAGATTTATTATCATATATTTTTAAAGACTCTAAACAATTTTTAAATTTTTATTTGGACGTAAAATATTTTAAAAATCCATAATTCATTACCAAATAATTGTGATGTATATCTATAATAATAATAATAATTATTATGCTATATGATTATCTATTTATTTCTATTTTAAGGGAAATAGAACACTATAATTATGGTATCATGCAAAATATCAGTAGCTTGTAATTAAAAGTGATGAATAATAAATTGTTGATTGATCGATTAAAAATAAAAAAAATTATTTTTTAAAAATATTAAACCACTAGATTTGACTGGCGTTACTTTATCAATAATATTATGGAAATTACGAATTATCGTCACAGTCATTTCATAGGGAATGTTGTAAGAGGCATTGATTTGTTCGTTAATAATGATAATGAATAATTAATTAATAGATTAATACTTAAATTGATAAATCGTCCTAATGGAGTGATGTTACGATTTATAAACCGGCTGTTTCCTGCTGCCTAAATTTGTCTCAACAAATATTATTTTTTTCTCCAGGTTATTTACATAAATACAATCACATTTTGGTTATTTACTTTTTAACGTTTAATAATTTCAACCGAGCTCATGCATTGCCCAGCTGTACGTATATAATATATATTATTTATTTTTGTATAATTAAAAAAATTATTTTTATATAATAATATTAATAATAATAATATGATTTGTGCATAAAGTTAAACTTTTTAGCAACGAAGAAAAATACTTTGCAATCTGATAATGGCATTTTTATTTAAACAATCGCAAGTTAAATATTTAAACGCAAGTTAAATATCTTAAAATAATTATTCTTCAAAAAATACATATTATGATAAATAGATACCTTTTAATGCACTAAATTCGTCGGAATGATTCAAAAAATTAAAAGGGTGGCTGTTACTTTCATATTATAATTCACCCTCTATTATTTTATCTTTTAATAATTAATTAATATAACTTGTAAATGATTAATTAATATTTTAATTAAAAAATAAATAATATATAATCTATTTGAAAATCTTATTGTACTCAGACAAAAGGCATTCGATAACTAAATTTTGTTGCATAAGATCTAAAGCCATATTTGCGCTTTCTTCAGCTGGCCACATCAACGTTGGACCAAATACTATTGCCAAATTTGGTATATGCATACGATTGAACTCTTGGTAAGAAGTTACCTTTAAAAGATGCTTCAGTAAAAACTGCAGCGTGTCATAATTTGCCGGCGGTAATGCTTTAACAATGTCACGGAAGCATTGTATCTTTGCGGAGGCTTTCTTCAGCATACTGGCATTAAGTGCTTCCTTGAAAAAACTCGATGGTATCAACGGTTCCTTAAGCTCGCGGAAGAATAATTTTAATGCACCCGTCAATACATGAACGTCTTCCTCTTGAGATAAAACGTTGAGATTGTACTGGTCAACTTGCAGGCGTATTTTTTGGATTTGACTCAAATTCCCACTGGCTCGGTACAAACCGTCAGTCTTCATGTTTTCTTCATTACTTTCTAGCACTTCGATACATGTTTTAACAAACAGGGGCACTCGTGGATGTTCCGTTGGACAAACGTCTTTTAAATAAGAGCCAAATGCCGGTTCATCTAATTTTAGATTAATAAAATTAATAAAACTCAATAATTTACATTGCTAATTAATTAATTATAGGTACTTACTTTTGTAAATTCCATTTTTAACTAAAGATTCAACGGGGGGACGTCGTTGGAAAAATCGACGTAATTTAGCCTTTATTTTAGTCTGTCTTTCGGCAACAGTTCCGCTCAGATCTTCAAGCGAGTCATCAAGTCTTTTTACCGCTAATTAATAATTAAAAAACATATTAATTAGTCATCTGTGTATAAATAACTAAGATAAAAGACTTAGTTATTGACATTGGCTTACACTAAGAAAAAAAAGTATTTTTTTTCTCAGTGTAGTTGTTTTATACTTGCAATTTTATTCCAATTAAAAAAATAAAATGTTCTCAAAAAATTATTTAAAAATTTATAATCCATAAATTGTATTTATTAATTTATTGGAATGGATTTTTTTTAATTTAAAATAAAATTGCAAGTGTCAATAACTGGGTCTTTTACTTTATTAGAAAAATTATTAAGCCTTTAAAAGTTAATACCGTCACCAAAGCCCGCTAAAAAAAAAAAAAAAAAAAAGAAACTAATAATTACCAAAATTAATTACATGCATTAAACTACAATGCCTACGAGTGATCGTGCCTACATTAGACTTAAATAAATATTTACTTTTCATAGACCGAGATCTTGCGACCTTGGATGACTTCTTTGACTCTTCAGATTGATCAGTCGATAATTTACTATTACTGATCTTACGTACTTCCGGTGGTCCAGCAAAAGGCTTTGCTTGAGATTTGAAGCTGAATGGCTGTAAAAAAATTAATAAATAAATTAAAATCTAATTTATAGTATAATATTATCATTTATACTTTGTACAGTGGTTTAAAGTATTACCAGTTTTCGTATGGCTCCATGTATCTCTTGAAACCATTCAGCAGCGAGTGCTGTGTTATCACTTTGAATAAGTACTTGAAGACCAAGTACGGTACTAATCATGTAAACATTTTTTCTGCTACTAGCTCGCTCGCCGGGCTCAATAATCGCCCCATTCAGATCAACCGATATGTCGGGCTTAGCTATGGGCGACTGACCGCTCTTCATCATCGTATTAAATGTTTTCGAGTCTTTGAAAAAAAGCAAAAATAATTCCGTAAGCACGGCGTAGGAAGTACTCCAGTTTTTGCGTAGTTTTTTTCCGTTTTCCGTGATCTTGGTGCGACTTATCGAGCCCTCTTTGAGAATTTTCATATTCCCGTCGAATGACAGCTGAGGCCAGTCGCTCAGCCCCGGCTTTTTTGACCCAGATACTGACATCGTGTCGTTATTACTCAAGTTTTGATTGGTGTAAGGTGCACCAGCTTGAAGATTTTCTGGTTGAGAAAATTCATTTGTTGCGTTACTATCCTCTTCCATCGGCTTTTCTTCTTTATGAGCAGGTGCATTGCTTTGAGATTTGCTAACCGTGACTGTTGGTAGTACCCATGAAGATTCATTGCTGTTCTCCTCGAAAAAGTATATCTTGCCTTCATCGTCGTTTGAAGAAAACCACTGGAACAAATAATAATATTATTTTTTATAAATATTATAGTTTTTTATTATAAAAAAACTAGCAAATAATCATAACTAAAATTGCCTAATATTTAAAAAAAAATTATTTTATTTCTATAACTTAAATAAACTCAAAATTAATTATTCAAACAATTATAAAAAAATTCTATTCATTTACAATTTTAGTTTCACGTGGAAATAAAAATAATAAATCAGGATAGTTGCAATAGATAACCTAATTCAATTAATTTATCAAATTTACTATAATGATAAATGATAATTGAACCTTGAACAAAATGATAAATAAAATATTTTAATAATCTATATTATTAAGAGAATAAGAAAAAGATACATAATTAAGAAATGACCTTGTATTTTGTGAACTATTTACATTTTTAAAGATATAAGCTCATCCCGATGCCCCGCACTCATCGAGACCTTTCATTTGAGTACCCACATCAATTTTTCATATATTTTATATATTTATATATATTACATATATGTATATATGAGAAATATATCAAAATGCATGTGGGTACTCAAATGAAAGCCCTTGATCAGTGTTACATCGGGATGAGCTTATATCTTTAAAAACCTCAATAGTTAAAAAAGTACAGTGCAATTTAACATAATTCATTATTTAATAAAGCAAAATTTTATTTATTTATAATTCACAAGTCCCGACAGTCACATAGTGACTACAAGGTTACTAGTTATTATAAATCTCCCAAGCGTAAAAAATAATTTTTTCAATATAAATTTCTTCCAGTTGAAATTATGAATATGATAATACCTGTCGCATATCGTCTTCATCATCCATATTAAAAAACAATAAATTTTTTTTCCACATTAAAATATCACTCGAAGTAGATCCTTTTCTCCGTCTAAATTTATCAACGCCACTATAATTATCATCATCATCATCATCATAATCACAAAAATTATTAATACCCGCAGCTTCATCAAAGGCCGTTTCATTAAATTCAATCGGCGAATAAAATTCCGAGGTTCGAGTATCATCCAGCGACTGTGACGAGCATTCACTGGTTAAACACGTATTCCAATTTTCATAAATAACTGTCTGGGAATATTTATCATCAAATGACGTACACTCCTCCACTTCTTCATCAACCTCCTGCAAATACGAGCTTCCAGACCCGATTGAGTCTTCCATTTTTGATAGCCGCGTATTATCCGTGTCTAAATTATCACAAGATTTATACAACTGTTCATTAGACACAAACTTACAATCATAATCATAAATAACATTATTATTTATACTTTTACTATTTCTGTCATGTGAATCAAAATCATTAAAAGTTTGTATCCAACGCACATTACCAGCGGCAGCTGCATCCGCATCACTCGGAAACGTCACGTTCACTTTTAAATTGACATTACTTAATGACAAGTTATTTTCGCAATTCATAACGATCGGCTCGCTGGCAGTACTGCTACCGCTGGTATGTAAATCAGTATTCTCTTCCACCAAATGATAACTGGCTTTATAAGAACCGATGTCGCACGATCCAGGAATTGTTGACATACTCCCCGATGAATCGTTTCGTAATCTATCAGCTTTAGCAACCACCGAGGTTGTTTCATCTAGGAATTTTTGACACACCATCAGAGCGTCAGTATCATCATGCTCCATAACCAGCTTAGGCTCCGGTAAATCTTCAAAAGAGCTAGTCTGGCAGGACGTAAAGTACCCGCTTTCATCGCGAATTAAATCAACGCAGCACACAATTCTCCTGGGGTACATTGTGAGCTCAGAAAAAGACCAACTGTGACTGCTCGTGTCCGGGAATTGTCCATCGGGCATAAACTCACTCATGTTGCTCAAATTATCAACATTTTCGCTATCAGAGTCAGCGACGTCATCTAAGCAGCACGAGAATCCCACTTCCTCGCTTGTAATATTAATATTATTTTCCTTATTATGTTCCTCGCCTACTCTAGTTCCCACAAGCTCGTTTTCCGGATTTCCTTTTGGGTTTAATTCACACTCTATATTATTAATCTCTTCATCGTAATTGCTTGATTCATCATCGACGTCTCTGGTGTTATCACTTTCGAGACTGGAATTTAAATAAAAATTATTATTTGAGTTAGTGGTAACATTGATTGTCGTCTGAGACATGGTTCCAGTTTCACAAAAATCACAATTGCTCCTTATCTGCTTCAACCAGTCGACAACAGGGTACCCTTGTCTTGTAGGAACGTGCTGACAACTCTGAATTATTTTGCTTCTCAGATCGTCAGACAGCCATTCGTAGGCGGGAATCTCAGCCTTGGAGAAACTCGATAAACCGTAATTAGTACTAGTTGTCGGATTATGCCCAATAACACGTGGAACACATGCGAGAATGCTCTTCTCCTCCATTAAATTCTGCTCGTCATTCATCGTAGCTAAATTTAATTGATTCCAATTATATAAAACTACTAAATTTACTACGGTTAAATTTGTTCTGGTACTTTTTTTATAGTTTCACGCTTTACTTATCTGAACTGAAACCACCGCAGGCTTTTTCTAGCCGGGCTTACGTCAATTCAAAAGCTAACCACATCCTCACGTTACCAAACGCGGTTTTGCAAACACTTGAGAATTTAATTTTTAAACTAAGTAGTGAATAAAAAATATTTAACAGTATCTTTAGTGCTCCAATAATGAACAGACTTCTTTAACAACTTGTAATTGATAACACAAATGAACAATTAATTAAATAAATTGAATGACTGAGCATTTTTCCGTTCAATGATTTTGATATTAAAAAATAACAAAAGCTCACTTAACTTGGTATTATTGCAAAATAATTTTTATAATATAAATATTAAAATAAATAATAAGGTATAGAATGAGACACTAGTAATTTGAGTGGTAAATCGCATCAGTGGTTCCAAACTACTCGGTAGTATTCGCGTCGCTTACTGACTACATCAGTTGAGACTGAAAGCTCAATGCCTTCACTCAAAACTACTATACACACATGTGATTCACACAAGAGCTCCATGTCTTTAGCCTTTAGCTTATATTAGCCGATCCTTCTCTCTCTATCTGGCTCAATGTTGCTGCTCAAGCGGGTTAGTAGTCTTTGCTCTTGCTTCATAAATACATATACATGTACTATGCTATATTACTACTATATTGAACATTTAAGATACATAATAGTGTATTTGAGCTTAGCGTAGACGCACACTGATTAAACATGACCGTTGATACCTAAGTGAATATGAATGCCAGCGTCAGATGATACTTTACGTCTTAGATTGAGGGTGTGCAGTTGATACGAGACGCTGCATAGCAGTATACATATATTTGTTGTTGTAGTCGTAAGAGGCGTTAAAGAAAGCACAGAGGGTCCTCTTGTACTTGTGCGATCAGAATTTCTGGGGGAAGATATCGAAAAATTCCTCTTGCAACAACTCTGAAATTTCATTTATCTTGAATAAGTTTTAAAAAATGTTTGCTCATTGATAATTTAAATAAATAATAAAATAATAATGTGTTATTCTGAATCTTGGGTCATAGTTGATCTTTGGATCTAATTTACAATTAAAGTCACATCACAGTTTGGCTTTATTGAAAAATTCAAGACAATAAATGGATACTTGTAGAATAATCATTTATAAGGAGCAATTAGGCGAAGATTCGTATCCAGTGGACCAATGGGTTTAGTCACGGGTTACCGGTTCAACTCGTAGGGTCAAGCTCAATTCCACGAGCCGAGATACTGGTGAGTATTCCTTCTCTCAATTCTGACGCATGTACCCGGGTGCATATGACTATCTATTTTATCCAATTATCCGAGGTGATGTCATCGCTCGGAGCCACTAATTACCTCCATGGAATTAGTAAATAAATTGGTCGTTGGGCGGTGAACTGACGACAATTATGTTTAGCTGGGTATCTAACACCACATGTGTACTCTGAATTATCGTTGATTTTTCTGCTTGTCACTATTCCCTAATGGATTTTATTTTTAGACTCCCACAATAAACATTCTCAAGTTTCGCATCTGTTTTACAATTGTCATAAGTCATAATTAATAGATATTAAATTTATCTTATAACTTATTTTAATTAATAAATTAACTAACAAAATAAATTTAAACTAGCAACCTTATGGTCACTATGTGACTGACGTGACTTGTGAACTATGAATAAATAAAAATTTGCTTTATTAAATAATGATTTTAAATTGCTCTGTACTTTCTTAACTATTGACGTTTTTAAAGATATAAGCTCATGCCGATGTTACACTCATCAAGAGCTTTCATTTGAGTACCCACATAAATTTTTGATATATTTTTCATATATACATATTTATATAAATATGATATATATAAATAAATGAAAAATTGATGTGGGTACTCAAATGAAAGATCTTGATGAGTGTAACATCGGGGTGAGCTTACATCTTTAAAAATGTCAATAGTTCACAAGATACAAGGTCATTTCTTAATTATATATCTAGAAATACACTGGCCACAAAATTTTGCTTATTCTCTTAATAATATAAATTAAAATAAATAAATTTTTAAATTAAATAACAATATCAAGAAAAATAAACTCACCTTATCACCCTGTTCATTGATGAAGCAAATTTGATCAGTATGAGGATCATACTTTTGTGTCCAGCCAGGCGGTAAATCAATTGCGCACTCGTAGCACTCTGGAGCCACCCTGGTACTCACAGGACTCGGTTGCGAAGAAGCATCCAACCCACCGGTAAATTCAGACTCCGACTGACTTTGAAGAGCTTCAGAACTAGCATTGGAGCTAAGAATTTGTTCATCTAACGGACTTTCTCTAACTTTAACTCCATCTTTCCTCAAATTTGCCCCAGAGCTCGACTTTTCCAGTCCCCGGTTCTTAAAATTACTACTATAATTACAACTATCATGACGTTCGTTGGAATCGTTGTTTACGAGTTCTTTTGATTGAAGGCAGTTATCCGAGCCGCTGTCAGAAGTGCAAAGCAAGCTCTTGAAGCCCACGGCAGTGCTGGACTCGATATCAACCTCCGGCGTCTGGCCCCTGTACCCTGAAACTTGCTTCGAGTTCACCCAAACTTCCGGGTAGTCTTTCTTGGTGATAGTTTTCCTGGGCAGCGGCGCAACAGTTCCCATTTCTTCCCGCTTGTCTTCTAGCCTCGTTGACAACTCATCCTCGGATTTTATCGCCGGGATCTTGGTCCTCGGGAGAGGCACCGGTTTTATCTTGGGTGAATTCTGAGGATAGGTAACATTTTCTTCCATGATGTCTTCTTCATCTTCAAAAGAATTCAAATCACTCAAACTCCTGCTTCTTCTCTTGGATCTCGCCAGAATAGCAGCAAAGTTGTTGCTAATTCTGAACCGGCGATAGTTTTCAGGTATCGTAGCACAATGGAGCGTCGAGCTCTTCTTTAAATTGCACTTTCTAGCAGCACTAATTATCCCGTCATCGTCCTCATCATCATCATCATCATCATTGTCATCATCATCCTCTTCATCATCATCATCATCGTCAGTAAATTCATGGCGATGAAAGTACCTGCCTTCACGCTTTGTTTTGAAGCTATTACTGTAAATAATATTACGCCTGCCACTCCCAGAATCTTCAGATCTATACGTTTCGTCGTGGATACCACTGTCGTCATACGCGTCACCGTCACTCATACTTTCGTTTAACGACGACGTATTTTTATATATTTTATTATTACTATTATGATTATGATTATGACTATGACTATCACTATGACTATGATTATGATTGTGATTGCTGGTGTGATGATTAACAATATTTGTTTTTTTAGCCGGCAAAAATTGAATTTCACTGGCAAGTTTTTCCAACGAGGGTGTTAATTTTAATTCCCCTCGCGTTTCACCAATATCAGATTTAACTTTAGCTTTAGGACGCATTTTAACTTTACCCGTGTGACGTATTTTAAAGTTAGAGTAACCCGATGACTCGTGATCATTGTCCGGACTTGAGTGACTCGTATCATTATTCGCTGTCGTTGTTGTTGTAATTGTCGCGCTCTTAAGATAATGCGATTGCTTATCAAGTGATAATGATCGATTATCAAATTTATCATCCGGCGAGCAGTCGTTCAATATGTTAGCCTCGTTGTACTCGTCTATTTTCGGTGACTTGGGTGACTTTAGCGGTTTAGATTGCGGTAATACTTCACCAGTGCAAAAAGTAAACGTTGACTTTTCGACTTTCGGATAACGGAACGCTAAAGAAGTATCCGACAAATCAGAAGCTTCGGATATATTTGAGTGCTCAGTAATATCCTCAAGTTCATCGTCGTCTCTCCCAATCACAACTGTTGTATTTATCGAATTTAAATCATGTGCTCTGCTCCCACTTGTAGAGTTTATCGATATCTTGCAAACATTGCTGGGCGAGCCGTCATTGGATTTAAATTCACCCCGTGTCTCTCCTTGCGGAGTACTTCCCTCAGATTTTTGTAAATTCATCTCATGTAGCTCCCGAGTGAGTTCATCCAACGGATCAAAGTTTCCTTTTATTTCCGTGCTCTTCAGCTGAAAGTTTGGTGGTTTTTTATTATTTACTCTCTCACGACACATCTGCGTCAACTCAGACATTAATTCTTCGACGGCCCAAGTGCGACGCTTGTCATTAAGAATTTTGCAATCACTGCTTGCATTATTAGCATCTGCTTCTTCGTTGGCAATCTGTCCGGCGACAGTTAATTGTCTTCCGTAATTTGGCTTCGGGCTTAAACTCCTCTCAGTGCGAAGAGAAAATTGTTTTGAATCTAAATCCAAACTTCTGCTATTTCTATTGGACACACTGGGACTCTGACGACCGCTTTGAGTACCCGAGTCTTCTCTCAGCGAGACACTGAGCTTGGACTCTGGCTTGTCTAGTCTCTTGGGATTCTCATCGACTCGGGATAAAAATCTTTCATCATTATCGCTTTCCAATTGAGAGTCGTCCGAATGGGAGGATTTAGTTCTTATTCTCGACTGTCGATTCAATTCATAATTACGGTTTTCTTGAACGAGTTTATCGTAATCGGCATTGTCAGATATCTTGCGCCGACGATCTAAGCTGCTCTTCAATTCCTGTCTGAAGGGGTCAGGCAGCGGTATTTCTATTCTTGCTGCAGGCGCGTCAAATGACTTTGGGCTGGTGGAAAAACTCTTGGTAAGCTTGTAAGACGAAGAAGGAGAAGAAGATAGCAAGTCTAAATCAATATCTTTGATGCCCATTGTGTTGGGCAATTTTTTTGGCGTTTCATTGGGTCGTTTTTTGAATTTTGTTATTTCAACAGGCTGCTCTGATTTTTGTCTCTCGTACGTGACCTAAATTTATTTTCTATCATAAAATTTTTTCACGAAGTATTTCCTTGTGTGATCAAAAATTTGCCTCAAGATTGAAAACTTAAACATGTATACTATTCTACAAAACTCCTGCTGCAGCATTAATAAAAAATGCATCTGCGCTTTGAGGGCGTGAAAGTCCGGTATCTTCCGCCCGGAAGAAGCTTCTCAGCGTCCGATGATAAACGAGCCGGGCATTGTCAGAAAAAATAGGTCGGGTAGTATCTCAGCTGACAAGCAGCTTGCGCCAGTGAGTTTTTGTTCAGAAAGTACTTGTGGCATGCTCGAACGTGTTCTGTAAAATGTCGAGCAGTTTGCACTGACTGTGTGACGATACTGGGACGTAAATCATTTATAAAAAGGCATAGCACAAAAATACCCATAAGGAAAGATGGAAATTGAAAGAAACCCAAAAGCTAGCACATCAAGATGTCAGTGGCATATGTAAGGAGGCTAAAAGGGTTGCTAGATACTGTCACCCCCATACAAATACACTCTCCAGCTCCTTCCTTCACCCCTAAGGTGTCATCTCCTTCCGATGACGTTTAATCGATAAGAGAGACTGGGTTACAAAGTTACTGGTTTCTAGTTTCTAGTTACCGACTGAAGAGTTCGTCGGCCTGATTCGAGTTCGCCTATTGAATCATCGTCTTGGAACACGATCTAGTCACTAGGGACCTAGATCTTGGCCACCGATTGCTCTATTATTCACGCAGAGTTGGGAAACTATTTCATCTGACAAAAGTATCCATTTTGCAGTCTACATTGATTTCTGAGATGCGTTGATAGATGCAGATGCACTAGATGCAAATAGTTATTAAATTATGCAACAATGAGAGTTGTCGCAACAATTGTTGCTGGTTCATACATATATACATATACAAGCAGGCGTCCAAAACGGTGAATGCCATTTCATCGGGTGGTTAACTGATACGCGAACCACATTGTTCTAGCGGCGCACAAACCGTCGACCTATTTCCCTTCGGAGGAGTCCATCCGATCCAATTCTCATCTGCCTGCCGTCCCTTGTTCTATATTCGAAATATATATGTATACGTAGAGGATGAAGTGATCTGTATGCATGGTCCTTGTGTTACCGAAGTAGTAGAATGCCGAATATCTATAGCGATTGCCGATTGTACAGAGTAGATTCTAGTCATGATTGAGATAGTGATCGTTAATGAAAACGATGTATAGTTAGATTAACTCAAATCCAAATGAGTAATCGACCGGCGCGGGACACTCTACTGTTTTCCTCTAAAATCTCTTATCTCTGGCTTCCTGCCCAACAGGCTTGTCCAGCATGCGACCGGCGGAGAATAATGTTCTGTGTTAAGAGCATTATGTATTTTCTCGATGGTGGTTGCTTTTAATTTAGAGTACAATGTTGAAAATTTTGGGACAAACAGAATGGAATTTTTCTAATTTTATGGAAAAAAGAAGAATTTTAAATAATTCTCGGCCTTTGTCCTCAGTCAATTTTAGATCGGTTGACTTTCAATTAACCGCTGCTTGGAATTTATTGTCCAGGTTAATGTTTTCGTTTGACAAATGGTTACACTAATTGGATGTCTAGCTGATAATAGTATTATAGATTATCGGAACCAGCAAATAAAATAATGAAAAACAAAAGCTTATCGGTGATACAAACAAATACATCGACGTTATCTTGATTACCAAATCGAGTGTTGGACATTAAAAATAGATCGAGCTGACACTTGACATAACGTTTAATGATATTTGGAGTATATAGGCCGCGTTTTTTAATTATCTGATAATAGAGGTAACCGAAATGATTTTGGGTATTGTCAAAGTTTCTCGTCCAGGTCCTTTTAAATAACGAAAGACGGGCATTAATGTTAATGACAATGCCTGTAATTAAACGCAGTCGTTCTCGGTTTTCGCTTGTAACCTTGATTCCTACCTGAATGAGTGCCAAGGCATCTAGCACAGTTTCACCCGGATCTTTTATAATCCCGAGTTAAAAGCGGCTCCGGGTGTATATATATATGTACCTACAACCGAATCCAGAGAACAGAGAACGAAGAACCAAGAAGAGAACACTGCACCTGACAAACTCACTAAAATTCAACTTCCGACGGCCTTGGCACTATTTCCCGGATGTATGGCCGGAATTTATTATTATTATTTTCTTTTTTTATGTATGCTTCATGTTAAAAAAATTATTTTGAATATAAAATCGAAAAAAAATTCTCCAATAATAATATATTAATTTACCTAGAACTTGAATTTAAAATGTATTAAATTGAAAAGATGAAAAAAATGGTATAAATTATTATAAATAATGTATATTTTATTCACTGGAAAGACGTTACATTGAATAGCGAAATATTTAATGGAAATGGGTGATTTTAAAGTGGGCATAAATGTAGATAAAAAAGATAAAGCAAATAAATTTAGCAGAACACCGGTACGAGTTTCATTACACATTCATATTTCAATATTCACATGGTGAATGTCCTATTGATTCACCTGAAGCATTCATATGCCGCATTGAGACACCGGTGATGCACATACGCACAACCTACTGAATTCTCTCAGTCCCCTGTGCCGGCAGTATATACAGTATTATATCTACATAAATGTGTGTAAGAGAATGCATTTGAAAGCGTGTAATATCCACAAATGTATAAATGTCCTCGGCGAATATGTATGCCGCTCCATCTCCTGTTTCTCAGCTGCATTTGGGTATCCTGAATTTTTAAACACGTACGTTTCATTTCCGGTTCAAGTGAATACGTGAATACGTTACAATCGACCTTAATTTTTTGGGATTAATATTCATTGAAACATTAATTCTGGTTTAAATTTCAATGATACAAAAAAATGATAGGAGACATTTTTTGTAGAGAATCAAATTTTCTACACAGAAAAAAGTTTCACTTGAACTAAGAAAATATTTTTCTTCCTAATTATTTTCTTGAGTGAAAAAAAAATTTTGTTTTGACACAAGAAATTTCCTTTATTCCAACAAAATTAATTCTCTTGCTTAAACAAATACGTATCTTGATCTAAGAAAAATTATTTAAGTCAAAAAAATCTTGTTTTGAGAAAATTCAGCCTCTTGCTCCAAAAAATTAAATATCTTGATAGAAATTAATTTTCATTAATATTTTTATTGATTAACATGTCAAATGGGAAGATCAAATAATATTGAATCATTTTTTGTCATTCAATATGCATAATTGCACCTAAAATAATATAAAAGAAAATTTTTTTCTCAGCTGAACTAGGTGGCGCTGCTCCCCTAAAGTATGTAAAAATCTTGATCAAATATAAAAATTTATTGTATCAAGTATTTATGATAATGTGAATTAAGAAAAAATGACTTCCACCAAGAATAGAATTTCAAGAAAAATTTTTACTTCGATCAATTTACTTCTTGAGCCAAAAATTTTGTTCTCCAGTCAAGAAATTTTTCTTTCTGTGTACAAATGAAACCTTGATCAATTTTATCGTATATCTTATACTTTAAACAAAATTTTCATTCAAAAAACAAGAGTAAAATTTGAAATCTTATAATTTTATTAATTTAATTATAAAACTTTCGTTTTTGGATTGATTAACTTTTAAATATACACCTCATCAATGAATGTAACAGTGGCTTTTATTTCCCAGTAGACTAAAAAAAATAGTCTCCGTAATCCAATTAAACTTTAATACAATAAAAGACACCTTACATTCACGGTTACTCGTACTCAATTAATTTTATTCTAGGTAGCGTTAATGAGTAATGTCGTGCTGTGAATACGTTGAGTGTTCCATTTTGACAGGCACATATATACAGTGGATAGAAGTGGAGAAGAAGACACACTGAAACCGCCACTTTGTACAGACTAATTATCGTCGCCTGCCCGAGTTAATGGAAGTGTAATCTCCGAGGAGGGTTCATGGCACATACTCGCACATTCACACACTCACGCCCTCTGCACTTACGATGGAGATACGCACTATGGATGACGAACGGAAGCGCCATTTTATGGGCATCAGATGCACGATACCAAGATGGCGAAATCCTCTGGGTTTTCTGGCTCTAATTTTGAAAGGCACTCGGGTAGCGCAGCACGTTTGGGATATGAATCGTCCCGGTTAAATTGAACGTCATTACGCCTCAGGTGAGCCGGCCAGCAGACATAAAGCATCGGGTAGAAGGGATCTGGCATCTCTAAAGAGCCAAGACGTGTGCAGATCGAGAACTCGTCAACTCTTGACTCTGGAATAGAATCCAACTAAGCCCGTGGGCGTTTATAGATGATATCAAGACGTGACACGTACGTTCTACCACGTGCGCGTCATTCACTATTGACCGTTTTATGCAGCTCCTGAATTTAGTGCCAGAGTTATAGTCGAACTACAGATATCAACTTGAATTCTCCAGTATTCCTCTCTGGCAATGCTATACTCTAACTGACGAAAAGCAATTTACGGTGACGTCCACCATCGGGACGCGATGTTAAAAAGACGTTGTTGTACGTGTTGTGTGTCAGAGTTTTTTTAAGGAGAAAAAATATATTACTTTTTATTTAGAATGTTTATTTATTTTAAATATTAAAAATCATTTGATTTTTTTTTTAATGAATTTAATAATGATAATAATCACTTAAACTAAAAAATTGTTCTTAAATCTAGCTTATACTTTATTCAAAAATTTTTCTGTTTGATTCAAGATAATCGAAGTTTTTAAAATGATTTACTTAGTTTAAGATTTTATTCCTTACACAGTAAAAAATTTATGAAAATGAAATTAGTAGCTGACAATTAAAAATTTTTTATTAAAAAAATTTTAATTAAACAATTAAAAAAAAAAAATTTTCATATGTAAAAAACTTGAAAAACTATAAGTGCAATTTTTTAGAAATATCTCTTTAGTTGTAATTTAATTTAAAAAAAAAAAATAAAAAATTTTTAGACGTCTGCTAATTACAGTGACAAAAATTTTGCGTCATTACGACAAAAAATTTTGTATTAAAAATTTTTATGTTAAATATTTAACACTTTTTTGTGTTGATTTAACAGAATAAATGTTAAATTTATACATAAAAGTGTTAAATATTTAACACTAAGTTTTTTGACGCAATAAC